GACTATGGTAGCCTTAGCTATGGTAGCAGCAATTTTAAATATTTGTCATTGAACATTGAACAATAGTTTGTTTGTCCGTTGGTTGTATGTCTTATAACCATTATTATATAAATTTTAAGCTTACCTTACACACGTACAGTACTGAAATTTGAAGGCAATTATAAAAATGGTCCTAAAGTTTTTGTTTACAAATTCCCCGTGATAAGATCTTTGATTTATACGATACCGCATGTTTGATTTTTACGAAAATGGATGACGCTACATTAATCAAGTAGTAGCTAATAGCCGAATAAGAACTATTTAAAGTTTTTGCAGACTTTATAATAAGCTTCTTAATAACATAAGAACTTCTTAATAACATAACATAATAAGAAATATTAAAGAATAATTCGAATACTGTTTATTGTTTATTAGTGGATATTATTACGAAAATTAGCAAGAAATTGATACTTTCGTAAAACTTTTGGTCGTGAAATAAAACAAATTTAAACATCTTTTGTTTTGTTTAAATATTCGTAAATTCGGGCCAAATATAAAACTAAAAATAAATTTCAGAAGTCATAAAAGAGCAGAAACTTTTATTACTTAAAAAACTAGTAAAATAAACAGTTTAATTTTATTTCTATAAAGAAAGAAAAAAATTAATAACTTGAAGCTTATGAAAGTATACTATCATCTGTGGATTTACGATGAAATCGGCACACACGAAGAGCGTCAAAAGTGATAACTAAAATTCGAAACTCATGTATCGTAGTAATGACCTATTAAAAATATTGGGATTTTCAAAATTATGCATAGTGTCAATCATAAAAAAGCGATCGAAAAACTACATTGATTGAGATTGGGTGTATCAAAAACTTAAATGTGAAAAACTTCTAATTTCTGATTATTTTTTCAAAATTTTTTTTTTTCTTAATTTAGTTCAGATTGCTGCCGTGGGCCGCACATCGAGGGTTGTTAAGCCGCATTTGACCCGCAGGTTGTGCACCCCTACATTAATTAATAAATGAATTAATTAAAAATAAATAAATTGAACTTTTATGAGTAGTTAAACCTAAAATCGATCTTTTAATGAAAGAAAAGAAATCTATTTCTCGGTAGTTGGCACTCTTAACTGAGCGAATGCTACTTAATTTACACAAAAATATTTACTCATTGCATCAATTTTTCAGGAAACTTAAAAAATTATGTTCCCAACATTTCAAATTTCATCATTCGTTTTTTTTTTCCATTACGATATTGTTTTTAATAATAATAATACAATAACGAGAATTTAATTACATAAAGTTCACTTTTTGTTACCAAAATATCATTGCGCATATTAAATGTTTTTTTTTTCATATAAAATACAATAATACAATTTTAATTTTATATTATTAATCATAATTAATCATTAATAGAATTTTAGTTCTAAGGTGTTTAAAAATATACATAAATAAACTTAATGATGATAGTGAAAGAGAAATAAATAACATTTATTTATAAAATAAATTAAAAAAAACTTTATTTTGTGAGTTAAATTTATTTTTAGTTTCATATTGGTTAATGCATATTCTTAAAAATGAAATGTAATTGGCAAGTTCAAATAATTGACAATATCAATATTTTAACTTCAAAAATTACTGATGCTTCTTCTATGGTAGAAAGGCTTTATTAAATAAATAACTATTTTGTTAGACATGAGAATAATCATTTCCCATCGCACATTTTATCTGTATAAAAACAATATTTTTTTTAAATTAATTGCCATTAATCAAAAAGAAAAACAATGAAGCTGATTACAGTTAATATTTTAATAAAATGCATGCATTGTCTTATGGCACTTTCAAGGAGATTAAATCTTAACACTGAATACAACATTAGCTAAAAGTAAATGAAATATATTTGAGTGTGAAATTGTTTAATTAACAAACTCTTAAGAATGATATTCATGAGTATAAGCTTATCAGTATGTTTTAATTTATCTTGTGCACATCATATATCTATTTCTGCACATTAAGTTAACCTGTCCCTCTTTCAGCATAAAAAAAAACTTCAAGAGGAGTAATTTTTTGGAGAAAAAAAACTCTAAATTATCCTTTAACATAATTCGAAGCACTTTATTTTCAAATGAATACTATTAGCAGGATATCTGCTACTTTTTAGATTTTCAAATTCATGACTAATTCCAAGAATTTTTCATGACTTAACGAAGTTACCATTTTCTCCGACAAAAACAGAACAATAAATTTAAAAAAGCATCATAATAACGTTCATTGAAATGATAGGTATAACCAAAACTGTTATACTCTGCATCTTTATATTTAGATTTTAAAATTAAAAAAACAGAGTAAAAAAGAGTTGAAGCAATAAAATAGCTGAATAAAACACAAAAACAAATATTTTTTTTTCTTTTTTCTGCAGAATTACATTCTACTTTTCTTGTTAATCGGAAAGGAAAGAAATACTCCTGATTTTTCTGTTCTCATTTCGGAATAAAAAATTCCCCAATGACTGGCTTGCTTCAGTTAGAATTTTAAATAGATAAAATAAAAAGAATAAATAATAAAAAAATTCTGAAATCACAGAAGTTTAAAAGATAATTCGCTCTAGAAATATTTGTTCTTTCATTTTTTGAAGGAACACCATAATTTTTAAAGAGCACGACAAAAACATTTTATATTTTAATCAAATATTACTGTGAGTGGGGATTTTGTTACAAATTCAGATATTTGGAGCACTATGAAATTTGAGGGAAGGGGGTAAATTCCATTTTAAAAATTAGATTTTTCGGAGAGCGAAATCCATGACTGTTCATTACTTTTTTTGAAAAAAGAGTTAAAATCATGACATTTCATGACAAATTTTGTTCAATACCGAAATTCATGACCTTCCAGGTGCGCGGATACCCTATATTATAAATTGAACAAAAAAGCTCGAACCTAATTTAGTAAAAATATACTTCCACATTATAGTTGATTCCTCAGAGCTGCTATCAGTGCTTTTGGCTTTTACGAACAATAAACAGACCTTATACCACTTTATTTTTTAGATGACAAATTGAAAATAACTATGAAAAAAATATTAAAATAAATATAAAATTGAAAAAAATAATAAATTAAAAAAAAATTGAAAAAACAATTTGCAGTTTTGTTACTTTTCCGTAACATAATATACTGGCTTTCAGAAATTTCTAACTTTTCTCTACTCCTGTACTACATGTAAGAGGCTGTTCAAAAAGTACGTACATCTCGAAGGGGGGGGGGGGGTTTNACTATTTTGTACGATGGGGAGGTATTATACAAAGTACGTACATTATAAGCATACACCAAATTCAAATTTGACTTTTTCCTACACACTCCTTAAATAAATATTTAATTTTGTTTAAAACATAATTATTTAAATTTTTATGAAAAAGGGGGGTAAAATAATAAAATGTACGTACTCTAAGGGGGGGAGTAAGATCTTATGTACGGTAAAGGGGGGAGGGGGTTAAAATTTCTCCATTTTTGTGTACATACTTTTTGAATGGCCTCTAAGGTGTGTCCAGTTCGCATGTTTATTTTTAAAAAATGGTCATCATGACCTATTTCGAAGACGGCCACTAGACAAAACTTTTCGTTTGGGTAAGAATTCATAATTCTTCAATCCACGATAGATGAGTGAACGTTCATTCTCTATTGAGTCGCATAACTATAATTATTACTATCACGCTCTGTTACAGAAACTATTTAATAACTGGAAAATAGGATGTTAATGTTTTAAAACTCACAGTTCACTCCAAATTAAACACTTTAAAACATAAATCAAAATTATAATTTTCAAACTATTTCTTTAATGTAAATTCTCAATGTTACATTATAACATAAAAACTCTAGATATTAAAGACTATAATTCAATACTACTAATCATTATTCAGAAAAGTAAAATTTTTAAGTAATTAAATCCTTGACTAAATTTATTTTATTTTTGAGACTGGATTTCTGGTTTCGAATAAAATTGCATTTTACAGATATTTTGAAGTTAGTCAAACTTAGATGTAATCATATTATGAGAGACCTTGAATCAGTAGGTTATTCAATAGATTTTAAAATTGGTAAAATATTATTGATATTTTTTGTGAGAAATATGTATCGCGGTAGAATAAATTTCATATAAAAGTTATTTTATGTATCTAAACAAAATGACTTAAAAATCATATTTAATAAGTACTTTTTGCTAATCTGCAAAAATTGAAAATTTAAAAAAACTATAAATTTCAATTGTTTATTAAGATTTACCTAATAATAAAAGACAGACAAATTCTGCATCTTATTTACCTAATATAACTTACATTTTTTCTCAATTTGGGAAATTTTCATTACAAATATTAATACCAAAAGTAATTTTAGATATTAATTTGGGTTTTTCACCACTTGTCTTTTTTTAAAGAAAAAGACATTTAGTAATAAAATTAAAAGAGCTACTTTTATAAAGTAATTGTACAACATGTATTAGAAAAGATTTATTAAATAAAAGATGTTACAAATAATTTTAATTACAAGTTGCTAGAAGTCTTTTTTTATTTCAATGAAAAAAACATATTAACTATAACTCAGGATTCTAATGCCAAGAAAATAAATAACAATTTGTATTTTAGTCAAACATAACTGGTTGTAAATAAAGTAATATAATCCAGTAATCAAGGTAAATTGAAACCAATATGAACATGAATACGAACATTTAGATCCCTATTATGTAAAAAACTATTTTATCACATACTTCAAAAATATGGTGTGTGACTCTACAATACTGTATTTAGTCAGATGACATTTCTGAAAAAAAACTCTTATTCCATTATACTACAACAAACAGTATAGTCAGCTTTGAAAAATTAAGACCTCCTTAGTTTTTTTAATATATTAAAGGAATGAGATTTCTCACCAATATGAATAAAACTGCAATAAATTAAATGGACCTTAAGTGAAAAAAAAAGAAAACTTTTAACATAAACAAGCATATGGCTTTTAAATAGCGTGAACATGACTGTGACTATTTAGATAATTCTTTCTTGAAAAAGCTTTATTACATATAATACATGAGTAAGGTTTCTCACCAGTATGGACACGGCTGTGTTTCTTCAGACTACCTTTTAATGAAAAACTTTTACTACATATACTACAAGAATAAGGTTTCTCCCCAGTATGAATATAACAGTGTTCATTCAGAGTCCCTCTCGCTGAAAAACTCTTATTACATATACTACAAGAATAAGGCTTTTCTCCAGTAAGAACACGACCGTGTGTAGTGAGATGACTTTTTCGTGAAAATTTTTTATTACATATACCACAAGTATAAGGCTTCTCACCAGTATGGACACGAACATGTGTAGTGAGATGACTTTTTCCAGAAAAACTCTTATTTACATACACTACAAGAATAAGGCTTCTCACCAGTATGAACACAACTGTGTTTTTTCAGATTACTTTATAGTGAAAAAAGTTTATAACATATACTACAAGAATAAGGCTTCTCACCAGTATGAACACGACCATGCTTAGTGAGATGTCTCTTTTAGGAAAAAGCCTTACTACATATACTGCAAGAATAAGGCTTCTCACCAGTATAAAAACGACTGTGATTTGTCAGATTACTTTCTTGTGAAAAAAGTTTATAACATATACTACAAGAATATGGCTTCTCCTCAGTATGAACACGATTGTGTCTAGTGAGAATACCTTTTAGAGAAAAACTCTTATTACATATACTACAAGAATAAGGCTTCTCACCAGTATGAACAAGACCATGTGTAGTGAGATGACTTTTTTCTGAAAAACTCTTATTACATATACTACAAGAATAAGGCTTCTCACTAGTATGAACAAGAATGTGTGTTATGAGATGACTTTTTTCTGAAAAACTCTTATCACATACACTACAAGAATAAGGTTTCTCACCAGTATCAGCACGACTGCTTTCAGTCATATTACTTTTTTTNAATCAAACATAGACAATTAAATGAGCATCTTTATTATGCTTCATCAAACTGTATTGAAAACATTTTGTCACGCAACATCGAGAAAAGCTGACACTACATTTTCAGCTGTATCACCAATTCGAGGAGCAACAGTATCGTTTGAAAGAGGACGGTAATTCTTTTGAAAAATTAACTCCAAACATAGTTTCTACAATCTCAATTGCTGCTGGCTTTTACTTTACTCTTGTTTTGGCAGTTAGTTAAAAATATTTTAAAGACAGAATTCAAAATACTCAATAAACATTATTGGTGTATACATTTTACTGTAAGTGGGGGGCGCGATAAAAATTATGATTGAAAACTGGGCCGCGAATACTGAAAGGTTGAGAACCGCTGTATTAGATACAATTAAATTCGATACACCATGAATGAATACAGTTCTAGACTTAATGTAAAATTAATGTTATTAGGAAGACATATTATAAAAATCAACATGAACAAACAATAATGATATTAACTGTTTTGAACATAAAATTATCAAATTTAATTTTGTTAGTAATTTATTCACACAGACACTGCAGAAATATAGTTTATTATAAATTAAGAAAAGCAACAAGAAAAAAAAATTTTTTCACTTTCACAAACTTAAAAGGTTTAACATAATCCATTAAAATATTTAAAAAAATTATTGTCAATTTTTATATCAATGTTCTATCATGCACAAGAAGAGCAAGCTCTTATTCATTACCATAAATATGAGAAATTCAAAAAAGTGTAATTCTATTTTTGAATATTAAATTGCCATAACAGAATATCAGCAGTATTTTCTCAGTGTGAACAGGAAAACCACAATTTAAATTTCTTGTGTACAAATATCAAATCGTATGTGTTTTATGAAAATGACAGACAGCTTAATTATCTGCATCTGTAATTTTAATCTATTTATAACTGTTTAATAATGCACTGCATGAAAAGCTTGTTTAAAGTGTTACTTAAGCCAAATTATTCTTTTTTCCTTCATTAATTTATCACAATGACTGCTTAAATAGTTTATTTCCATATTATGAACTCAAAACAATTAAATGAAACTACTTCTTTTTGAACACTTTTTAGGCTTATAAATTTAATCCAAGTAGGGGCAAATCAAAAACAATTTTTCTAAAGCTTTTCTTTACACAAATAGAGTTAATTAAAGTTGTCTTCGGTATAAGTAAGAATGTAAGTTTTAATATAGCTTATCTCAGCAAAGAATTTTTCAACAAATAAGTACATATTTGACTTGAGAGTTGGTTACGTTATCGGTTGCCTACTTCAACACACCTGATGTCCAGAATTTTGGGATAGTTTTTAAAAAGTAGAGGAAGCTACTGCAGAATATCAGCTTATCCTTTTCTTAAGAGAGCATTCATACTGCATTGTAGAAAATCGCATATGTGATTCTAAAGATGCCATGGAGTAAATGATTGGGACATTTTTTGTGAGTAAAGTATTTCACTAATGAAGTCTCGTTTGCATCTCAGAATTCACACACGTGAGTTTTTAGCATGCACTATTTTTGTGTCTTTAAGGACCATTCTTACAGTTTACATTTAACACACCTCTGATTGCTATCGAGGAAGAATGGGAGCCTAAATTGATGATCCTTTTCTCTTGACGATGATTGTAAGTGCGTTAATCACATTCTGTGTCAACACTCCCTAAATTAGAACATATTTGTGTACAAAATAGAATTTTCTATATATTTATATATAATATAGAATATTTTAAGATATCAATCTTCCATATGAATTGTTTATTGAATTGACATTACATACATTTGCTGACTTGTGTGCTCAATATAGGCTTATAAGTCATTGTCAAGTAGAAAATACAGATAGAACAATTCAGAGAAAGACATCACAAAGAATACATCCAGGGTTACGGCGGGATTCGAACCCGCTACCTCCACGCTTAACAGAGCGTTTGGACCGGCGATACCGCTCGGCCAGGGAGGCCCCTTCCATATGAAGAGTCTTCAACTTTCGTAGATGAGTATGAAGAGCTCTTTGCTTTCGCTTACAGCTCTGTATTTCCATTTATGTGGTCGAGACTTGATTGATAGCTGAAGGTGGTTCACAGCAAGAGTTATCTTTGCATATTCAACAAACTCAAAAGTCGCCTTTCAAAGTGATTTTCCCCCCTGATAAAATTTAAGATTTACAAACATTTTAGGGTATGGTAATTGGGCTAAACCAGACAGGGACACCCCGTGGTTTTCACATTTCTCTGCCCTCTGTTCTGTTCCTCCCCACTTAATTGCCCTTTTACATTCTGGTAATGGTCCCGCAGTGGACTGATCGTTAAGACATGGTTCCCAGCAGATCACCGAAGTCAAGCATCACTGGCTGCGGTCAGTGTGTGGGTGGGTGATCACTTGGATCAGCCTGCGTAGGGACCAAGGGTGTGCGGTATTGGTCCTCGTTAAACTGTTCTACCGTAAAGTGCTCGACTTCGAGCGCAGATCGTCGGGCTACCGAAGCGGGGGAGCTATCCCCTCCGCAGAGAATCAAAATTGTGATGGAATGTCTTCGGATCATCCTCAGGGATGTTTCCCAGACCGTCGCCAATAGCTCATTGTGCAGCTCTAGTGTGACGTAAATGAACAACAACAACAACATTTTGGTAATGTGATATGAAGAGATGTCTTTTTTGCTTGTGGTACTGGAAAAATAAAGATTTATCTGAGGATCATTGGAAATTTTTATTCTGCATTCTGGAGAGTTTTCTAAATGATTATTTTCAACGTTTTAAGATTTTTTAAAAAATTTTGTTTTTACTTAAAACAAACAAAATATCAAAATTTTGAAAAATTTGGGGGGGGGGCGGAGTTATCACATTTCTCCGCAATGATTCATATTCACAGCAATGCCAACCTTCATCTATCAAAAGATACCTCATGATTGAATCAAGCTAGCATGTCTTATAGTGAATTGATGTTTAATAATCGTAGTGGTAGCTACGCCACAACACTCCCCCACCAGAATTTTATCAGGGATAGAATTTGATGAACTGATACCACTAGTTGCTTGTGAAAGACCGGGAGAGCTGGATTAAGATCACTGGGTTTCTGAGTGCTGAATGATAGAGGTGTATTAACTTCACGGTCGTAGTCGCTCCTGTGTTGCCTTTAGCAGTCGAGTGCATGCAGGCTGACGTTGTGTATGAACGAGACGAGACTGAGTAGCAACAGCGTGAGGAGGTGGATAATGTTGCAGTCACAAGAAGCAAGTTAACTGTTCGATATGGACCATCCATCGAAATAGGCGTTACCAGATCGAAGTGGGCGTTACCGACAAGATAGACGTAATCATATCACGTCCGTAAGTCACCAATGTGGGAGGAGGAGCTATAGACAATGCCAACCTGCATCTATCAAAAGGTACCTCATGATTGAATCAAGTTAGCATGTCTTATATACCAGTGAATTGATGTTTAATCGTAGTGGTAGTTACGCCACAAATTGAAAAAAGGAAAAAAGATAGAAACGTTGGTGCTGTTTGATTTTGTGCCTCTTTCAAATAATGTGCCCATGGCTCTCGCCATGGGTGCCATACCCTAGATACACCACTGTTTATAGAATATTATTGAGTAAGAATACTTTCTCACTACATGCGGTTATTTCACTTCCAATGGCTGTCGAGGAAATATGAGTATCTGATTGGTACTCATCAGGTTTTCTTTTACTTTCAACGACGATCGTAGGTGTAGTAACCGCGTTCTGTGAAAATGCTTTTCAAATTGTAATTTGGATGCGTAAGAAATCGCATCGTGCATGTGCCAGTATGTATGGTTGACTAAATATAAGCAATGACAAACTTTCAAAATCTGGTGGAAATTTAGAAAACTTCCAGTGTATCCTTCCTCTAATGTCATGCTTACTATGCAATGAGTAAACAGGCTTGATTTTCTGGGAAGTTTTATAATTGTGATTTGTGTTTAAATTTACACGTAATTTTACCATTCATAAGAGTTTTCTGTAATTTATAAATTTCAACAGATCGTCAGCCCAAAATAAATTTAAGAAAATGAACATCGCAATATAAATAAAGTGTAAGGTTTGCCATGTTTTGAGTGTTATCCCATATTTGGCTATATTTGCATAAAATATGGAATGTTGTTATATATTTGGTAGAATCATATCATGCTTGAGAGGTCTTCCGAATTTTTTTGTTAAAATTTAGATTGAAGGAAAACATAATATTACGAACAATAGAAGTATAATAATATTGAGTGCATGCTTTTCCAAGAGTAGATGCAAAAATCGATCAAAAGTAGTAACCCGGAACACTTAGCGCCATCTGTGCGTGACTTTACACGGTCACCATTTTTCCAGAAAAGATTCCGTTTTTAATTTTGTTTCTTAAATCTGGCATTTCATATGAAGATGACGTCAGTCCTGTCTTCGTCTGTTTACTTTGAGTTTTCGTTTTATGAAATCCCTGTTATTAATGGGGGGAATTAGATTATTGTTACTTTTTATTGGGTTAGAGCGTGATAAATAGTTATAATTTTTTAAAATTTTGCACGGCTTTAACGCCGGAGTTTTTAATTATTCGTCTCATCCTATCTCTTTGTAACAAGTGTGATTCATCTAAGATCCAAGTCTGTATTGGCCTTCCTGTTTAAATCATGGAAACTAATAATTGGGAGGGTAAAATCGCAATTTATTTACCCTTTTATGTTTTATTGTTTTAACCTTAGTTAATCTATTAACTGAATGTGTGATATTGAAGATTTGATTCTTGTACAACAACAAATTGTTATTAAATTTATAACTTCCTTCTTTGATACGTATCTCAATTATGACTCAGATCAGCAAGGACGAAATTAAATACGTATCAACAGTATGCATGTATACAATAGATAAACAATGCGTACGTATGCTTATATATCGATACGTATCATGAAAGTACAAATATATAATTTACTTTCAGTGTTATTTACCATCATCACATATTATTATGACATTCTATTATACAAATATAATAATATTCTGCATAATTTTACAAGTGGGGGGATAAGTAGATTATGATGAATTTTGCTGTCAAGTTTGAGCTCATAGTTGGGGGGTGTATGTAATAAAGTAATACATTAATAAAAATAAAATTAAACAAATACTTAATATTTTATTTTTTGTCCTTAACTCTCAAGACCTTTCTGAAGAACATTCCTTTCTAACATGAGGATATGGTATTCCTCATTTTTAAAACACTGATCTTGTTGAATGACTCATTCAACATTGTTGATATTTTGTAAATAAATATCCTCTTACATTGTTTGTTTACAACATATATATTCACCATGACTAATGATATGTCTCAAATTTCCTTCTCTCCATTTAAAAAAAATAATCATGAGTGTTGTCGAACCTTAAGTTTTAAAGGACTAATTATATATTTCTTGTAACTCAGAACATCAGACATTTAGGAAGAGAATGGAGTTCTTTTCAATGAAACTATGCAAATCATCTGATTAGTACTGATCCTCTTAGTATCGTTATTCTTACATCAATTCTCTTTAGCAAACAGCAGATATTTCTGTATCAGTGCCTGTTCACACCTACTACAATTGGCAAATAGATTTAAAACAAGAAATTTAAAAAAAAATTTTATCTGTAGTTGTTTGCTTACGAGTCATACCCCTTGAACTGCTTTCCTTCTCTGATGTTTTTAAATTTCCCGTGAGCAACTTCTGGGAAGTTCACAAAACGTGGCAATTATTTTAGTTTAACTATCAATACAGAAATCTTTCTAAAATGTAGTCTTGTGACCCTGAAATGACCACTTTCTATTGTAACTTCTTAACTCCTACTTTCTTATGGCCATTATTATAAAACAAACTAAATTAATGAAAGATAGTCAAGGAAATAAATGCTTACCTGAGTTTTATGCTGTTTTGTTGACTTATTGAGCAATGCATGAATTGTTCCGATTGTTTAAACAAACTATTTTGTTATTGCATAAATTCAGAATGAACTGATACTGCAATTAAGCACCTATAGTTTGTCTACAGTAAGAACTCCCCCAGCCGCGAACTCTAAGGCCGCCTGCTGCTATAGAATAGCACATCCAGGAAGGGTAGCTTCTCATCACTCTAGAGCTAACATAATAGACCGGAGAAAAAGATTCCTTTTCTCTTGCTGACCTGAGCTAAAACCTGTCCTAAACGGTGAAAACACTTCTACGTGAAATTGCTATATCTTATTATTGTTTTGCTACTTTTAATAAATTTTAGCAACTCTCATTCCTATTTCATATACCTTTATAATGTAATTTTTCTATTATGTATTCCCTGAAGCAGAATTTATGGAATGAATTTGCCGCAATATCTTCCCAATCCAAATTTGTTTGTGACCTTGATGCAATCAGACTGAGATTATTATTGAAAAAATTCAGCTTTATCTAACATATGGGATCCCCTTACATATATATGTAGAAAAATTTGCTAATAAAAAGCCCTCTAAAAATTAAATTTAAACAGCAAAGATTTCATTTATAAGTTGGATTTTATTAAATGAAACTAAAAAACTGATACAGCTCCAGACAGATAAGCCTGTAATCAAATAACAGAATTTTTTTATTTTTACTTTTTGTTCTCTGCGGCATTGAGGCTTTTTTCAGTTCTTCAAAACAAGTTTAGCGATGTTATAAGAAAAGAATCTTAGTAATTTCCTCCTATTTTTTTATCACTTTTAAAAAAAAAAAATTTGGTTAAAAATAATCTACAGATGCTGTAATAATTGCCGCCCTCTATGTCGGAAGGTTTATGCACCGTGTATTTGCAAGTAAAGCTGTCATTGGCAGTTGCTACCATAGACTATATATAATAGCTTAATGAGCATAGACTGTATTTGTTTAGTTGGAAGTCTCTTATTTAGACAATATTCAAAAATCTATCCATCTATTGTCAATAGACTTTAATTATCTATAATGCTAATATAAAGGTAGCTATAAAAGTACTCTGTATTACTAATCTAAGTATTTCATTATAAGGCAGGATCTGAAATACAGTGCAGGAGGGAAAATTAATAAATATATAATACTTAAAATAAATTTATTATAGTTAATAAATTTATTAACTTAAAATAAATAAATGTTTACAACTCTTTGTCTAAATGTATATGCATTAAACAGTTAATTTATGCTTAATGGGTTTGATTTTGATAGGCTTTTTTTTTTCATCCATTTTTACTCAAATTTAAAATACGCAATAATTTCTATGTCTTTATTATTTATGTTATTTTAATAAATTAAGTTATTTAAATTTTTTTGTGATAGGAAAATGTGTGTTTAGTAGAGATGAGTATTAAGTAGATATTTATTTTAGTAGTAAAATTTCACAAAGTAAAAATATCTCTGTTTCATACCATTGATTTAGAGTTAAGACGTCAAGCAAGGCAGCTTGAAAATGAGATTGATTTGAAGTTAGTCTCCTTCAGCAAATTAGGGACAAGTTATGGTACTCAAGAGTATAGAAATGAAAAGTAAGTTTGTAATGTATAATGTAATTTGAATATGTAATGTTAGTATGCAATGTATACATAAGGCATAAAGTTATTTCTTGTGTTTTAGATTTGAACTTTTATATTTTTATTTATATTGGAATTAATCAGAGAAAAGTAATTATTCTTAAACTTTAATGCATTAATATTTACAAAAACATGTATAATGTTTCAAAAATGCAAAATATGACAAAAGTTTAGTTGTAAAATTTAAATTTGAATTTTTTTTAAAAAAAATCGAAAAGTACAAATTTGAAAAAAGAAAATTAGCAAAACAGTTACTAAAATCTCATCATCATCATACTTGGCTAGACAGCCCAATGTCGGCCTATGCCTACCTCTGAAGATTTCTCCATAACGACTTCAGATTTATCTTTGATCTAAAATCTATTTGAACCTAATTTAGATTTGTCACTTTTTAAAAAAAATTCATTTGTAAAATAATTTGCATGTTATACTCTGGCTAGGTGTTTTATAACTTTAATAACATGATTTAGATTACTTAAATTTTGATAAATTAACGCAGATTTACTGTTGATAATTATTAATTTTATTTTAATCTGAGATAATGAAAATCGTAGTTCTGATGAAAAGACAGAATTAGGGTACTGAATCAAGACATTGTATGCAGTTATCAAATTGAAATTTAGATATGGATTATTTTTATAAAGTGAAATAAAAAAAAATAATACAAGGATAAATATTTGTGTACAAATTAGATATAGTAAAGTTTCAATGTGAGTAAGTTTTCCTAATTTTTCCTATTGTTATTAATACATGTTCATAGTTCAACTTCTTTGGTTTTAACAATTAAGACTTTTTTGAATAAGTCTGTCAATATTTAACTTACAAACCTGGGAGTCTTCTATGTTTAATGCTGTAAAACCACTCTTTTTCTTCTGTTTTTGGACTTTATAGATACATCTTGATTAGTTTATAAACTCTCAGCTGATACTGACAATGTAAGAAATATAAAAAAAAATCAGTGCATATATTTGGATTAATAGAGGATGAGACATTGTTCTTTATCAACACACGATGAGTAACTTAAGCAATTTTTGTCAATTTTCTCTCTTTTATTTCACTTCACTAAATATTTTGTATATTTTTTTTCTGTTACAATTGAGATTGACTCATCATTTTGAGACTTTTATGAAAATCACCTAACAGCTTGTATACAGTTCGACTGGAGGTAGGCAGTAGACTTACAATATGCAGACACACAGGAGAAAAAAAGGCTAGGCGGAGTTAATTACGTAAACATCAAGTGGAGATTTCATTCATTAAGCCTTCAAATAATTTTGAATCAGGAGGAAATAAATATTTAATAAAATTTTCTTATTTTTAACTCATCCTGTTATTTATTTATTTTTTAAAGGGTACACACTGGTGTTTCTTATTTACAAAGCAATAAAAATAAATAAATAAAATGTGAGAAATAAAAATAAAAACTAACTTTAAATTGATTTAGGTTTGCTTTAGAAATTGTAAAGTTAATGCAGTTTATAGAGAGTTGTGTTATATGAATCTTCTACTGTATTATCATTTTTTGATTTGGCAGAGTTTGCTAAAAAAACATACAGTTTAAAATGAAAGAAAAAAAATAGGTATTTAAAAATTTATTTATTCATTATTTTTATTTTTGTAGCAGTGATACTGTTCCATTACTCAGTAGTGACCACATGTTTGAGACCATGGCTATAGAAATAGAACAGTTACTCTCAAAGGTATTTATTTTGCTCTTGTAAAACATGTTTTACTTTTTATTTGTACAATACATAAAGTATAAAACTTACACCCTAAACAATTTTGATCTTACACAAATAATTTTATTACATATAGATATGTTCACATTTTCATTTCGTAAGATACAGTATTCATGGCTTTAAAGGCCTATGCTAATTATTATTGCAATGATAATTTAACTTATGAAGCCAATGTAAAACTATACTTTTTGTAATTAATTGTAAATATTTTTTTATTATTATGGATTTGAATTTTGGACCCTAAGATAAGGAATTTTGCTATAGTCTGAAAAATATGGTACAAATTGAAGGACCATAAATATTCAGTCAATTCAAAAAATCTATAAAAGCATAATAATATGACCATAATTTATTCATTCAGTTAGTCGACTGGTCAAACACTAAGTCCTTTAATGCTATCTTTACTTTTTCAATCATGTCTCTTAAATTTATTTTTAAAAAAATATTTTTTCCAATTTATAAAACATATTTGTTTATTTAAAGGTAATTTCATGAAAAGTATTTTTTATTAATTTTTTTTTTCTAATTTAATTTCATAATAATTGAAAGAATAATCAGAATAAAAAAGTTAAGAGTATTTGCAAACTTTACCGGAATATAATTTACTTTGAAAAAATTGAGCATTTAAAATAATTTTTAGTGCCCTATTTACTCATTGTGTTAGGTAGCAAAATATGTGTTTCTAAATTATAAAATTTTTTAAAATTGTGAAGTTTACTGAAAATTGGAGTAAATATAAAAATACATCAAGGAATATTTTCATAAACATTATTAGAGCTGCTTGATTTTCTTAAAATTGAGTTGTATACTTTTGAAGTTAGCAAATATGAAATTCTTAAATGATGGAATTGCCCAATAAACATATTTTTCTTTTTCATTGATATAAATTTATTGGTTTTATGTTCTGATTTATTTAATATTACTCTTTCTTATTTTTAATGATTCTATAATAAACTGATTATTCTTTTTAATGAGTTAAGTGATAAAAATATTTTTGTTACAATTCTACAGTTAACTGATGTGAATGATCAAATGATTAGCTATTGCCAAACTCAAGCTGTTCCCGGTGCTACAGTAACTCACACACTGCAACGCCACAGAGACATATTACAGGATTGCACTCATGAATTTCAGAAGACCAAAGCTAATATCCAAGCAAGGAAAGAAAGAGAACAGTTATTGAGCTCTGTCCGAAAAGATATTGAGTAAATATTTAGCCATTATTTACAGGGTTGAATTGTTTAAAACATGTTTTTTTTTTTAATTTTTTAAAAATTAGTTTTGAAAATTAAATTTTCTATTATTTATATAAATTCTTTTACTACTTTGAATATAATCAAATGAAAAATTGTGAGATTTTCTCAGTTTTTTTACAATTTTGAGCTTAATTGCTAATGTTAATATGTATTACTTTGTTGCAGAATGATTCAGTGGCGAATGAGTACATTAAATAAAGAAACCATATTTAATAACAAACAAATTTAATAATAAAAACAATAAATCAGTTTGATACGAAATGGGGCTTTCCAATAAGCTATCTAGTTGAATCCATTGCCTGCCACATAAGTGATTACAGAATTATTGTGAGTGATTACAACCCCCCCTTCTGGTCAGGCAGAAATTCGTAACATACTTTGAATAAACATAAATCAGCAATTTTTAAATGTTTACATAGAATTTATTTCCCCCAAAATATCTGTGTAAAATAAATTATTATGAGCAAATTTAAGTTGTAATATCTTTTAAAAATGCTTAAAATAAAATAGACCATCACCAATTCCATGATTTGTAAGTTTTTAAAGTTAATAAAATTTTGTACGTATTGAAATTGTTAAAGTTTATCAAAATTAATTTCTATCTACTTGAAAATGATTGTTATATTCAAAAGTATATGTGGGAATAACATGCTTTTCTAAATTCATTTCTTCAGTTTAATTTTAGAAATATTTTCTATTACTGGTATGAACAAATTTTTATTGTATATATATTTAGTATGTTAATAATTCCTTTTTGCAATAATTTCAAATTACATTTTTCATATTATTTGGAAGGAAAAAAAAACAGTTAGAAAAATATATAAAATTCGTTTTAAATATTTTTAAAGTATTTTTTAAAATTTATTTAATGTTACAATATGTCAATAAAATATGTTTATATAATGAAAGTTCCATCATGTTAAAATAATTTACTAAAATTAATTTATTATTTATTTTTCAAGTTGTTAGTACTAAAACATATTGTTATTATTTTACATGTTTACAGAAAGGAACATGACAAACGGACTGTATAAATACAGTCCATTTGTCATGTTCCTTTCTTTCCAAGACTATTAATGTTAAAAGTTTTTTTAATTAAAAAAAATATATATATGAGTATTTTATGCTCCTTTATATTGAAATTTGTAATAATACAATAATTTTTTTTAAAAAAGTGTTCATTTTATAACAATTAATACTGGTGTTACAAAATTTATGCTGTTGAATAATGGCACATTAGTGTAAATAATGCTGAAATATGATATTTTTATAAACAATGGTAATTATTTTTATTCATATTAATTTATATATATGGATAGTATTTTTTTCCCAAGCTAAGCTTATATTGTAATGGAAATTTCTATATTTTAAAATTTTTTAAGACTAGATTTATAACTTAGTGTTTTTTTCTTCTATTCTTGTGGTTTAGTTGTAAATACTAATAATACTTATTAATACTACTACTAAATAATACTTATTATTAGTACCTTTTAATACGTCCCGCAGGGGACTGATCATTAAGACACGGTTCCCATCAGATCGTCGAAGTCAAGCATCACTGGCTGCAGTCAGTGTGCAGGTGGGTGACCACTTGGATCAGTCTGCGTAGGGACCGAGGGTGTGCGGTATTGGTCCTCGTTAAACTGTCCTACCGTAAAGTGCTCGACTTCGCGTGCAGGTCGTCGGGCTACCGAAGCAGGGGTGCCATCCCCTCTCCAGAGGATCAAAATTGTGATGGCGTGTCTTCGGATCATCCTCAGGGATGTTTCCCAGACCGTCGCCAATAGCCCATTGTGCAGCTTTAGTGCCACGTAAATGATCAATAACAACAACCTTTTAATACTAATTATATTATAATATACTAATAATTTATTATTATTAATGTATTTTTTTTTCTCAAGCAAAGTTTATATTGTAAATGTTTTTCTGTGATATTTTATTAATACTAGAATATAGCATATTTTTTTCATATATATTGATTCTGTAGTGAATATTTATACTCAAATTTCTAAATATATTTTTTTAGTGCTTACAAGAATTCATCTGGTCTTAATAGAAGAACAGATTTGTACCTAAAAGAACATGAACACATTAGAAAGTAAGTCAAAGAACTTTGCTTTTATGTGACGCAGTATGATATCATTTAATTTATAAATTCTGCTTAATTTTAAAAATAGGTTATCAAACATTTTTGGTGTGCAAGTAGCAGTAGTGGGTGACAAGTGACAATTCTTGAAAAATATTGTTAAATATTACAAAAATTTAGTCTTCAATAATTTAAAAATAACTTAATCTTAATAAAGAAATTGAATAAATTAACAATACGACACGTTAAAAATTTCTCCAAATATTTTTTGAACTGAAAGCTAAATAAATTAAGTAAAACTTTTAATAATAAATCTGCAATGTAGTTTGTCAAAATTGTAAATAATTAATCTTTTATTAAATATAAAAATGTATCACTTTAAAAATAAAATGTTTGTATTTTATTAGGTTTTAAAAATTTGTTTGCTTATAAAAATTTTTAATTTTGGTGAATGCATTATGAATTCTAAATTCATTCTTATGAGGAAACATTACTCACCCAAGCTTAAAATTGTTTAATGATGGTAAATTGGTATTTTTAAGTGAAATTTTTACCTTACTTTATTTTATTTAATAACTGTTGTTGAAAAGCTGACCCAATTTTTGGGTTTAAGTTTAAAGTTAACTCAGTAGCCTTGTAATTTCGAACGAGATCCGGAAGATATGGGAACTCCTGTGGCAAGTATTAGGACAACTTACCCTTTGTGAAGGACTTTTTGATTGATCTGACCCGCCTTTTCGTTACATGGAGAAGAAAAACCATGATAACATCCCACGATTAGCTGAATAACAAGGATATACTAACCCATGATCCCGTTTACCACTGAGGATATTTTGCGTCACCACTGTGGTCGGTGCGAACCGAGTACGGAATGTATATTAGCTAGCCACTGCTGTGATTCGAAACCGGCTCACCTCTTGAAACGTGAACGCTCAATCCCCTGAGCCCTCACAGCTGACTTTATTTATAATATTTAAGACTACAAACTGAATTAAAAAGCAATATTTAGATGTAATATTCTTATTCTTATCATAATCAGAATATTTTAGAGCCTGTTTTTTTAAACTCTATCCTTTTTGTGTAAATTTTAATCCTTATCCATTTAAATTTTTTGATGTGCCCTTATATACATATACATATATAAAAGGAATTACTATTGTTAAATGATTCGTAAAGTGATACTTATTTATTTGTTTGTAGCTCAGAAAAAATGGTTGATGATCAAATAAGGTATGTTTTACATTTATAATAAGATATTAATTGACCTTTTAAAATGAATTTTGAAGTTATTTATTATGAAAAATAACTTATATATTTCCAAAAAGTGTTTTCTTTTCTTTATCTAATATTGAGAATATTTTAACAAAGTAATTTACACAGCCTCTAACTTCATTTTTTATTTGTATTTTCACAGTTATTATGTTTGCATTTTTTGTCTTAAAATTTCAACCTATACTGAGCACTCTTGATTATCATCTTTAAATTTTGTACTTATCATTGTAATTTTTCTTCTTTTATATGTATATTTTATTCTACCAGCTTTTAATAAAAAATTTCAAAGTTTTTACATATCCAAATGGGCGTATTAGTCTACAAAATGCATGTCCTAATGAAACTATTATATGCCCTAACATGTCTTTTGATTGCTTAAACATATTAAAGTAGTTTATCTGTATAAAAAGGTATTAGCATTATTATATAAAGTAATATTTTTAGTTTTAGCATAAACTAGTAGTAAGTATTGATTACAAAGAAGTATTAGGTATTATCAACAAGGATTTATTATGCTAGAATAAGTATTAATGGAGTAAATGCAGAGCATTTTTGTTAACAAGGAAATAATCTTATCAGAAATATTAGGTTTTATCCACAAGTGCATGCCCTTCATGTTGTTTTAAAACAATGTTTTAAACTTTTATATGAATTATTTTCTTATATACAGAAATTGGAGTAGCCTTTTTAACAGAAGTAAACATGACTGAGGGAGCAGGATAAGCTAACAAAATATACTAAATTCTTATTTATTTAATTAAATTCAATAATATTTAGATTTTACCAAAAATTTGTAATTTGTAATTTTTTTTTATACCCCTTGGGCGCAAAATACTGCCACTATCTATCATTGGCACAATTATGAAATTTTAATGGAAGTTAATGAGTATTTTATGTGATCTCATGTCGGGCTGTATAATTTTTGTTTTCTTTTGTTTATTCAAATCTGTTGTCACGAACACGGATTTAGAGATTCACTTAATTTTATTTGTTTCTCTCACTTAGTTTTATTTATTCACTTTCGAGATTAGCTTACTCACTTAATTCTTTTGTGTTTGTTTTGCTGTATTGAATTTTTTTTTTATTTAAATATTATTACTGTAGTGATTGATAAACAGTTTATTGTGGATTTTATTCTATGTATAATGTTCGAAACAATTAGTTTTTTTTTTTTAGTTATTGAAAGCTATAAAAGTTTGAAGTAAATGTAAATGACACCATGAGTCATTTAACAAAATTGTTAAAAATACTTGAATTTTTTTTAATGAAAAATTATATAGATTTGTAGTTTGTAAATGTTACACTTTTAATGATGGAATTGCCCAAATGACCTGAAAATATTTTTCATAATACATTAAATTTCTTTATATTATATTGTCTAACGGTAATAGAATATTGTGTTCGTAATGCATTTCGAAGAATCATAACCATAGTGTATGATGATTACTCCCTGGCCTGGTGGATTTTAGTAAGCTTTATGTACACATTCAGAAATACCACAGATTTTGAAATGTCTTAGAATTTATGATTACTGTTAAATTTATATTTAAAAAATTTTTATGTTGCACTATTTCTAATTAAAATCATTTTGAAATATTAAACAAGTTTGAAAAAAAAAATTATGTATACAAATAGAAAATAGTATTAAGCTTTATTAAGTACTTTATGAATGAGATATGATTTTATGAATTACTATTGTATTTGCACAAAATAAAAGATTTTAATTTTGTATTATTCAAAAAAAGTTCATAACAAACTTATTTTAGTTTATGATTACTGGTTTAAAAAGTTTAAGTGTTATTTATAATTTAGCTTGTGTTGTGTTTAATTAACTCAATCATAATAGTTTTGCTCATTAATAATAAATCTAGCTTGACAAATTAATTACAAAATATGGGCTATTTTAAAATAATCAACCTCTAAATATTGTGTCTAATGTTTAAACAACTATTATTGTTTTAAATTAATTTTATAATTTGGGAGAATCATAGATGTAAGGGTTAATGTATTTTGTTCAATAGAAAAAAAATATTTTTTCTATTTAATAACTGTAATGTTAAATAATGTTCAGGTGGGATTACACAAAAACAATTTTAATTACATTATGTTACTTGAGTCTTTTTGTTCTATCTCATTTGTGTAATAGAACAATATGCACTAAATAGATAGTAATTCATTTTTTTGTCATTTAGTGTATTGACTATGAAATAGATTTTTAGTTGGCATTTTCAATTTTATTATAAACTACAACTACTATCTAAAAAGAGGAAAGGGTATCCTTTGTGCTATGTTGGCTAAAGCAAAAAAGTAATGTGAATAAAGCACAAATAATTTCTTTATTTGTGCTTTATTCTTGTTTTTTTTTCCCCTTCTTTATTCTTCACTTAATTTGCTGTAACTCTTATTTCAGTAACTCAAATATTATTAGAAATTGCTTTTATGTGAGATACCAACTTTTTCATCTTTAATTTTAAGTTACTTATTCTCAGTTACAGGGTTTTATGAACTTATTGCATTAGAATTAGTTCATATTCTTTCTTTCTTTTTCTTTTTTTAAAGGAAAACTGAAAACTAAACACAAGTATATTTATTTCAAATTATATTTTAAAGTATATTTATTTTAAGAAGACGATCTTTAGAGTCTTAGTAAGAAACTATTTCCTTATTTTTTAAGTTTTATATTCAGTCATTGCTTTAAGCAAAAAGAGATTAATTAATTAGTTACTCATTAATTTTAATTAGAGGTGTTCAAAGGAAAGAAGCATAGATATTTGAGTTTCAGTTGTAATGTATTTTTAAACTGAAATTAATAAATAAATTGAATAAATAAATCTTACCATGTTTACATTTTAATTCAGATATTTAATTGTAAGGTTTAAAACATTTTATATGCTTATATTTCTGAATAAAAGCCAAAAATTGTTAGGAAATTTTCCAAAAGCTATGGTTATGTAGTCAGCTTATATATCAAATCCACTTACTTTGAAAATTTCAATCCCATCGTCATTAGTAATACTTCTCTATTTGTCGAGCATTTAGGATAATCAGTAGATATCGTGAAGCATAAACTCAAAACATAAAAATACATAAAATAATAGTTGAATATGGGATGCCAAAATATAAAAATTTATCTTCCTGTGCTGAGATATGACATCAATCTGGGCTGCTTAGCTGAAATGCTTGCAGCGAAATAAGAGGTAAACGAAAACCAAAGTAAAGAATGAGTGGGAAAAGAATGCACGTTTTTATTTCCAAATGTAGCACGCCTGTTTTTTTACATCAGCTTTAATGGAAATCTTGAATTTTGGGTGAATTTCATAATAAAAAGCATACTCTTTGGCTTACACCTGGATAGGCTTATATTCGGAAATATACGGTCAATCTAAAATTTGTTTGAAAAGTGTGATATTTCATGAATTGTTAATTAATCTTATTGCTGTTGCTAATTAGTCTTTGGCTTACACACTGATAGGCTTACATTTGGAAATATCAGCCTAAAATTTGTTTGAAAATACAGTAGAGCGCCGATTATCCGAATTGCTCGGGACCGAACGTGGTTTGGATAATGAAATGTTCGGATAATTGGAAAGTTGTTTAAAACCTTATTATTTATGCACCAACTTCCCTTCACACTTTTTCTAAGCTTAGGACAGGCAGTGCTATCTAAAATAGCTCTGGCAAGTTTGACTTTTTTTTCTTTCAATTTTTAAATATATTTTTTTTCAATTTGAATCTTTTTTATCATATTTCGGCTTTTTTATAATTTTTTTCGTCAATTACTGATTTTACCACATTTTTCATTATTTTCCATTGCAAAAGATATCTAGCAAAGACTTTTGTTTCAAAGAACATGCTCTTTTTTGTGCTGCCATATCCCTTATTCTTTTTAAATAAATCAACTGAATTGGATCAACATCATTTTGACGTTCTAGGCAATTCATTGCAATATCTAATGAATTGCATGCTTCTTATGAGAAGTTCCATGATCTTGAACTTGATCATGTACTTCTTCCTGTTAATCTGAGGAGTTCAGATTTTCATTCAAAATTTCAGAAACAATTTCATGATCATTTAAAATTTGAAATCCTGAGTCGTTTTCAGTGGCTCGACACCAGTCTTCTATTTCCTCTATTTCTTCTGTATAACATGGCATATTTTCACCCGAAAGATCTACCGATTCACAAACCGCAGTTTTGTTTGTTTTTCTGATAAGAATTTTATTCCAAGATTTAAGATTCCAAGCACTGTAATCACTAATCATTAACCATGAGTGACTACTACCCATCCCCCAATTGTAGAATTTCGGCACTTATCTATTCATAAACACATTCCGCTTTCCAACAATTGTAGATTGTCAAAATGAAGCTCGCATTCTTTGATGATAATTTTCAGTTGAAGAGGGCTAAAGGGGTATGTAGGTTTAACTGTATGACAATACATGTATGTATGGCTACTATAAGAAAACTGCTGAAAAAGGTTGTAAATTAAATATGGTCTTCAGATGTAGTGGATATTATCTATTCCTTTAAATTTAGAAAAATTGTCGATAAGTGAAAAAAATTCTAAACTTAAAAAAGAGAAGAGGAAAAAAGCGAGTTCGGACATAGTTCGGATAATTGGACCTTCGGGTAATAAGGGTTCGGATAATCGGCGCTTATGTTATTTCATGAATTGCTAATTAATGTATTTATTTTAATTTTACAGTATTGCTGTGAAGACTAAAGAAGAGCTTATTAACCAAAGGCTTGCTATGAAAGCCATACAAACAAAAATGACAACTTTAGTCAGTATCCTTTTTTAAAATGCCATTATTGTTGAATCGAAGTTACTTGAATTTTTAGTACTAAATAGAAATTCTAAAATTACTCATAGGAAAGCTTTACATTATAAGTTATTTACTTTTTCTTCTCTTAAATAGCTTTTCTCTTTTGAGAACACTTTCAGCAGCTCTTTATAAGGGATGATTCTGTGTGATAATAGGCAAGTAACTATATTTCATAAATAATTTTAACTCTAGCTGTGTTTCCGCTAATTTGTGGAATTATGATAATCTCAAGATCGTTGATTCTCTGATTTCTGCAAATCAACATTTTGTGTTCAGACAAACTTTTCTCGGAATTCTGCGAATCTAAAATTTAAATTGCTTTACTTGCACAAAATCTTGTTAATGAGACATTTATTGACACATTGTTCTCATTGTCACATGATGACGACTTTTTTTACACAAAATTGTTATAGAAAAACGCAACTTTGGGAACATAAGACTGGGGAAAAAAATTCTCTTATAGCTTTGGCTAGAATTAATGAACTACTGAGGCAAACACAAAAGTATAAAATTGATTATCTAAAAAGTAATTCCAAAATGTAAAACATTTAAAAAATCGTTTGCAAAGTAAATGGTTTTTCTTTCCATTTTTTGTTTCTTTTTTAAAATTATAGTTTAATGAGTTGCAGTTTTGTTGCAAATTCCGATTTGAAATCGAAGAATTATTTAGATAATGTGATATATTCCAATTAATTTTTAATATGATATTTCTACATGTAAATTTTGACACTGTGCGTTTCAGTAAATACTTTTTAATACGCTCTATATTATCGTAAATACGTGTTTTGATTATATTTTTCTTTCGCATTTAATGCAATTGATTTTCTCATGGTTTTTAAAATTCCGATATTATTACACGCAAAATTTGAATCTGGAATATGAGTAAACACTTTTTGATACTTCTGATTTGCATCAGTACAATCGTAAAGCCATGACAGATCATTTTAGCAACTATTATTTCTATGAATTTTCTTAATTTTTTTTTTCACTCCCAATATTTTTATACCTTATTATTATAACACACACAATTCAATTTTTCCTATTATTAGTAACTTTTTGATAGGACTATACCACTTTTTTTATAGACTTTATAACAGTTTCTATTGTTATAGTTATGTTTATAGTTATGTTTATAGTTATAGTTATGTTATAGTTATTGTTATGTTACAGTTATTTTCATGTTATGTTATAGTTATTGTATTGTTTATAGTTTTTATAATTTATAATTTAGCTTGTGTTGTTTTTAANAGCTGTTCCATGTGGTTTTATTTAATACCATTATTTTTATATAATATTATTAAGAACTTAAGAACCAAGAAATTCGAATCGCCCATTTGAATAATTACTTTTTGACACTCTCGATTTGCGCTAAATCCAGGCGAGTTTTGATCTTTTTTTATGACAGTTTTCCTTGAGTTTCTGTGCTTTAAAACTCCCTTTAAAATCAGCTGTAACAGACTATTTATTGACAAAGTCAAGGAAACTTGCATCAAAACTTTTAACAGCATTTCTAAAATTCCTATCATGATGTCTCAGATGTTGAAAAATCTTGCTATGAGCAGTGCATCTATGCAGGAGAAACCTCTTTTTTAAATCGTTAAATCATTGATCTAATTGAACTGAAATTTTTTATCTACTCACTGACATTACTTTTCTAACAAACTCTCTATGTGTATAAACTTTAATGCATGAAATTTTTAAAAAAAATCTTAATTTTTTATTTAATTTTCATCCTTTTTTATTTAAAGCGCAAACTAATGTATTGTGAACCATTACTTACTATGTTTGAAATCAATAGCTATAATTACAGTTTTATTTTTAACTAAAGATTACCCTTTTATTTTCGACTTGTACATAGATTTTTTTATCGTACGAAATTGAATTAGGGAAATTTTTAAATAACTAGTATTTTATAGTTTTAATAGTTTTTTTCACATGTAATTTTGCTTCAGATCTATGAGAATTGAAGAATTGTACTAGATTTTAAAATTAAGTTGTCAGATATTGAAAAAATTACTTTAACTTGGAATAATCAAATTCTTAAATAAATTTATACTGAGATTTTTTTTCTTATTCAGTGTTCAGATATTGATAAATAAAAGCTATTTTTACCTCTTGAATTAACTACTTTTAATAATTACTAAAGTAATTTAGCTGGTAACTGTGTGATATCAATTTAATTGTTAGTTATTTTTATTTAACTTGAAGTTAGTTATTTTTATTCAGCTGAACTTTCTTAACTAACATCAAGTTGTATAATTACAATTTTAAGATTGATTATGATAACAATTTAATTGTTCCTTACTTTTCATTTGACTATTATTACTTTATTTTGAAGTGCCAATCCCTGAACTAATATTGAAATGATAATTTCTGTCTATACTTTATTTTCTTGTTTCATGGTTTACATTCAAATATAGAAACAGTGATTGTTTTAATCAGATATTCATCTGCTTATCAAAATTTACTTTTTCTTAGAAGACTTAGATCTAAAGATTTTCACATATGTAAACAATAGTACAAGTCTATTTGTAAAAATATTTATTTATTTATTTGTGTCAATGATTTTTATCCTATTTTCTGTGGAATTTTCAATATTGATACTTTAAAGGGATGCACTTATTATGCGAATCCTAAAAATACTTCATAGTGCTGGAGTTTGAGGGATTCTTTGAATATTATTATTCTGCAAAACTCCTAGGGTAATGAATTACTTTGAACCCCCCGATTTTTGTATATATTAGTGAAACAAAAAAAAAATTTAATTCATTTTTTAAAAAAAAGCAACTAAAATTTTTTTTTCCTTTTCAAATTTTATTGAATCATTTAATTTCTATTCATAATCTAAATGGAGCTAGTAGCTCTTGGAGGTGAAGAATTTTGTGTTTTAAAACCCAAGTTAAATAACTGTCTTAAAATGCTTAATTAAATTTTATTTTCTTATTTTATAATTTTGATATTAAGCTTTTTATTTGGGCTGAGAGTCTAAAAATGTTGAGACTACTGTATTTCTTTTAATTTCACCTGTATGAAAAATTAAATATTCAAATTTCAAATGCTAAAATAAATTTTTAAAGATAATGGATTTTTTATAATTATTAACGAAAATTTTAATATGAACATCACAGGACCCCCTAGATTATTACGGGTGTACAATGCTGAACGAACACCCTGCTTGCCTCACCCTTCTGACTAAAGACGACTAAGTTCCTTAATTTCATGTCATTTATGTTATTTTTGCATTTTTGAAGATTTTTTTCTCTTTGCATTTTTTCAAGATTTTTTTTGGCATTTTTTGCTTTTTAATACATTTTTCGACTCTTTGGGTTATTCTTTTTTCTATTTTTTTTATTTCTTAGGCTTTGGGTCATTTTTTATTTCATTAAATGCCATTAAAAACAAAATGTTTGGGAGTCAATATATTTTCCTTTTTATTATTTCAGCATATAACATTTATTTCAAACTTTACTGACCATGTAACATGTCTTGCATTGCTTTATATATTTTGACATGAATGAAAATTTTACAGTGGGTACTTAAATTTAGTAATTTTACTTTAATTAGGAATTTTTCGCATTTTTAAGGAGATATTTAGGTTATCAAATTTCAGACTCTTCTAATGACCATTCTGTTCAAAGAGTAAAAAAAATATTTATTCATGGTTTTCAGCATTGGATCACTTATTTTACTAACAATAAAATATGTGATATGAGTATTACTGTAGTTCTATTTTACTGAACTTACAGGGCTAGTAACAGGGATGTGATTCTTCCGCGGATCCGCTGATTTCCGCTTTTTTCAGATTTTTCCATATCTTCTGCTCTTTTTTCATAAATTTCCGCTCGGAAAAAAATTTTATGCAGTAAATGGTATTTTGTTGAAAATTGTTTTCCTCCGCGGAGCGAAAGTATTGAAGCCCCCAATAAACCTTTCTTCACATGTCAATCTGCTGGATGGGGTAAAAGTGGTTGACCTTGGTAAAACAATGCCGTCTCCTACTCCACTACTCTCTTATCTTTTCAGGGATGAAAGACTTTTTAAAATTTCCGACCATGTTCCAAAAACTTTTGGGGAGTCGAACGAACGATATGGTCGGACTTGCGACGAACCCCCCCCCCCCCTCTGCAGTAGCTTCCTGAGAAAATGATCTTCAGAAGAAAATGGGTAGAATTTCGACATGTACGCCGTTGCCTTGACAACCGCGACTTCCGCTATAGATTGGAAAAAAGAAAAAAAAGTCCTAAGCAGTTTCATTTCGGCCGCTGATATTTGATTTCTTTTGATTGGCTGATTTACAGAATTTTAAATATTAGGAACTGGGCCAGAATCTGCTAAAATTGCGATTCTTATTTAGATGATTTTTATGTAAACCATCGATTTTCGTATTTAACTGATTTAAAAGTTACTTAATGAGATTCGTTTTTACACGATTTAAAAATCATTACTCGCTATTCCCATTCACGCAATTTAAAAAACCAATATCGCGATTTGTATAACGTTTTTTAAAACCCAATATCGCGATTCATATTCTCGCTAGTTTAAAATCGAATGTCGCGATTCGTATTCATATATATTTTTAAATTTCAATATTGCGTTTCGTTATCACGTGGTTGTAATATCAAACATCGATTTTCGTATTTATACGCGGTTTAAGCATTACTCGTTGCGATAAGTATTCACGGACTCTGAAAATTATGCATCGTGATTCTTATTTACGCGATTTAAAAATTCAATACCGCAATTTGTATTTTCGTGCTTTTAAAATCCAATATCGTGATTTTTATTCACGTGATTTTAAAATTGAACATCGCGATTCTTATTCACGCGATTTTAAAATCAAACATTGTGGTTCTTATTCACGCGATTTTAAAATCCAACATCGCGATTCTTATTCAAGCGATTTTAAAATCCAACATCGCGATTCTTATTCACCCTATTTTAAAATCGAACATCGCGATTCTTATTCACGCAATCTTAAAATCCAACATCGCGATTTTAAAATCCGATATCGCCTTATTCACGCGATTTTAAAATCCGGCATCGCGATACTTTTTCACGCGATTTTAAAATCAAGCATGGCGATTTCCTATTCACGCGATTTTGAAATCCAACATCGCGATTCTTAATCTAAGGCTTCTAATAATTGTGTGAGAAATGAACTTTCTTGTCCTATCAACACTGATGATCAAAAGTCTGCAAAACGCAGTCTACAGATCAGTCATTCTTAATAAAAAACCATCAAAAAAACAAAGAACTAATGAGAAAGTCCATAAAGGTCATTTGACCATTAAAGAAATGTTTTTTTAAAATGATGTGATACATAAAATTGTGCTTATGCATAATTACTCAGTTATCTAAATTATGAAAAAAAATTATTTTAATCAAGATTTTATTTAAAAACATAATTAACATTTATTTATATTTATTTGAATAGATAATAATGTAATCATTATTAGATTGGCTATTGAATTCATATCATTTTTTCTTTTGCACGTTTAATGCTACAGTATAAACTTCCTCTTTTTTGTGTTTTTGTCTATCACATCCCTGTAGTAATCTATTATGTATTAGTCTAATGACTAATGTGTTGTGTTTTAGTGTTAAAAGTTTATCTGTATTAACATGCAGTATGTGTTATAATCCAATTGATATGTGATTTGTGAAGGAAAAAAAAGAGTATGGCTTCCTTAATTTCTGTTAGATCGTTTTCCTATGATCAACAGTTTAATTCAAAGGATCAATCTAAGGAAAAGAAGAGATTCCATAATTTTAGCGATAGTTATTAGTATTTGTCTTATTCTTTTCATATTATATTCTTTCCACTGAACTTTTTTGTGAACAAGTGAATCTATTGAATGAGTTTATGAAATCTAAATGTGCCTATTATGATGTTGAAATGTATAAATTGTATCCTCATGTATAAAACTGAACAAGAATAAAACTGATTTCTATTTTGCAATTTGTTTATGGATTATGTATGCTGTACTTAATGAACACCACTGATTAAGGTTGGCAATGTATTTAATTTGTTTATGGGTTTTACTGAATTGAAGAAACCTGTTTTTTCCATAATTTTTACTACCGATAGAAGAAAAAAAATATTTTTTTATTCCTGCCATTTCTGTTAACATCTGTCTTTTTATTTAAAGAAAAATAAAGCTATGCACTTGAACATTCTTTTAATATGATCAAAGTCTTGAAATTTACACGATCATTTTAAGAGCTAATATTCAATGAATGTTTGACATAGATATTTTTTATGATTAAATTCAGAAAGATTAATTTTCATCATATGCTAATAAAAAAAGGACAAGAGCTATCTAACTTTTATATATTAATATATAAAGCCATTGTAGCCCGGTGGATAGAGCATTAAACTTCAGTCTAGAAAAATCGTGGTTCGATCCTAAAAGCAGCTAAGATCCACCAAGTATATGCCATATAGATTCATGTAAAATCTGTTGAATGGATGGCTCTGTTGTGGGTTGCTGAGCACTACCATGGGTACAAGTATCTGGAGAAAGTTTCCTCCCCATTCAGATCTATGGTTAAATTCTGGAAGTGGCCTCGCAAATGAGTGAGGCTGCCATCTATTGGGGGGTTCTGTGTTAAATCACATTTTCTCCCAAGCTGTGCTCTCTTGTCTAACGAAAAGTATTCCTTACTTACTGAATTCTCATAGAACAATGCCTGTCGAGCTTGCCTTATCCAAGTGTCATTAGAAGCAACTACACATTAATATATTATCAGTGGCTGATTTATGACTGAATTGATTGCTTTTATGACTGAATACTAGCAAAACTTTTGTGAATTAGTCAATGGGGTTCATTTTAAATAATATAGCATCTTTTTTTTTATTATTTCTTGTAAAACATGGTTAATTGTTTTTAGATTTATTCAAACTGAAGTAGCAATTATGAAAAAAAACTTGTTTAACAATTTTTTTAAATGTAACCACTTTTGCAGTTCAATGATATTATGTTTTTAAAAATTCTTCTTTCTATATAAATAATTTTTTTTAAATTGTAAGATATATGATCTCTGACTATCTTAACTGATATAGCTCTATTAGTAAATCTTGTTAAATTCAGTTTATAAATTTTTGAGGTATTTGCACAAAATATTGCCTTCATCTATTTATATACCTTTCTTATTTTAAATTGATTTGTTAAACCTTCACCTCCTAAAATTTTACTTTTTACAAAATGTTTTATTTGACTGATTTTTATCAAATAATAACCTTCATTGCTTATCGAATAATATATATAAATGATAAGATATTGCTGTGTATTGCAAAAATATAATCTGTAGTGTTGCTGAAATTTTCTGGAAAAGATGGGAATTTTATTTATAAAATTGAGTTGGAAAACAGCTGTATCTCTTTTGATGATTTTATATATTAATGAGGGTATGTATTTATATGTATATAAATTTTATTTTACTCCAACTTTATCCATGTTTTTGGTTAAAACCATGAACGCTATATTAGAGTGCATATCAAAAATAGCTTGTAATTCAGCATTTCAGTCATGTGGCACTTTTATTGTATTTCAAATTTATTTGCAATTAATATTAATAGTACATTGCTCACTGGTTAGTGTCATACTTAGGTTGCGAGCAATATGTTGCTTTACAATTATTGCGAAACACTTGGATCTTAAATAATAAACATTAAAAGTGCACTCTTTAAATTATAAAACTTGGAATCTTTAAGTTTGAAATTTTATTTGTAAAACAAATTTAATTAATAAATAAGATAGTGTAAAAATGTATCGATGCAAAAATAACTAAAAATGACACATAGCTATGTAAAGAAAAAAAAGACATTTTTTGTAATTGGTTTGGACCTCAAAAATGTGTTAAAAATTCTTTGGAAGTCCCTATCTTTTTATGCACTTCTTAGGGGCAGCGCCCAAATAAATTTCCCTGACGAGTGCAACCAAGAAAAGCATTTATTACAAAACTATTTGAAAAATCTTGTATAAAAAATTTTTTTTTAAGTATTTCTAACATTTATTTTTATAAGTGTGCACCAAAATACTTCTGAAAATTACATTCAATAATTTAAGCTACCAAACTAAAAAAAAATTTTCAAAATGTTTACATTTTTATTGTATTTAAATTAAATGCAAAAAAAAATATTTTAAATTGAATAATGTAAGTAAAAAAGGTAAAACAACAAGCTCAAGTGTCTTATGTTAAGTGTCAGATTTTTCCTTGTATTATTTTTTAAGAATCAAAAAAATTTCTATTAATTATAGCATTTAATTTAAGAATGCAACTTTTGAGCTCAGTTAATAAATTAAATATGACATGTTCAAACAATATTTGTGATTTTTTTAGATAAGAAAAAAGTTTAATTTAAAATCGAAATATGGTTTTTGTTTATTGGATTTACGCACCCTCCCTTCTGGGCAAATATGACTTATCTTGAGTTTTTTTCTTTAGATTTTAGCTCAGGACGGTCTCACTCTCAGCCTTATTTATATTTTAATTTTCACATCACACCTTTAATGATTCCTTAAACGTATATAAGTATAAGATGAAAGAAGAAAAAGTTGTAGTTGCAGGAAAAATCAACTTTTATTTGTCAGTTGCTTGTGTTGGTCAGTATTTTTAAAAAAGTATTTTTAAAATTTTAATCAGTGATTTAAGGGATTCCATAGCTATTTCTCTCCTCTTCCTATGTAGTATCTTCCTTTTCTTTCTGCAAATAATTGTACTTTTTGGTCCGTTATTATGTTTTTAAAAGCATGGTTTGGAAAGGTAATTATCACAAAATATTTTAAATTTTTGCTATAATATATTCCGATAAATTTGCGATTAGTCTGCGAATTCTATTTTTTTTTTTACTGTACCCTACAAATTATCCTACTGAACTCAAATTTGATATATAATTTCCATTCATTTTACTAATTAATACTTTACCATATATATACATACACAGTAGTGAATCTCAAAATTGTTCCCACACTTTGAATATTTGTAGTAAAAGTGTAAGTACATTGGAAATTAATTCAAATACGAAATTCTTTTTCATATTATCTGTATTTCGTTCTGTATGAAACTCAACCTTTAGTTTTAAATATTGACTGTTTCAGAAAGAAAAAAAAATTTCCCAGAAAAACTTGCTACCAAAGGTCATTATAAACTGAAATTCAAAATTAAATTTATCGTCTGACTCTGTAATTTAAATTTATCGTCTGGTACTTTAATTCTTAATTTATTATTATTGTTATTGCTTTTTATTGATTAATATCTTTCTGCATTGTGGTGGCATTTGAAATATTGTTCAGCTTTAACTTTATCTTGCTTACTTCGCAATATTATGTTTATTATTTTTATAACTGCTTTTGTCGTTGAGAAAAAACGACTTCGAAAGTTGATTGTTTCCATCATGCTAAATCAGTTCGGAATGTTGTAAGTAAGTAAGAATGTGAAGTTGTTAGTTAGAAAGTTAAATCGAAAACAAGGAAAAAGTTAATGAAACGTGATCAAAAAGTTATTGTTCGAAAGTTTGTGAAAAATCCACGTTTGAGTGTTGTAAAAGTTTCTGCAGAATTAAATGAATTTTTTCTTCTACAATTTCGCCTGAAACTGTTCGACGACTTAACAAAGCAGCTGAATTAAATGGACGTTTTGGAATTTTTTCCATTCTTTGTTTATTGAAAAACGTAAACATTAGGCTTCCTTCGCAAAATCAATGTTAAATGAACCACAAACTTATAGGAATGATGTCTAAATTGTTGATGAAAGCAAATTAAACATTTTTGCTTCTGATTTGCGTATGGAGAAGAAAAAATAATTAACTTTATCCTAAGAACTCAGTTGGAACAATTAAGCTTGGCAATGGAGGTGCGCTTGAGAAGGAGTACGCGTCAGCATCAAGAGTAGGTAAGTTAGTATCTATTGATGGTATAATAAATCATGCTGTTTATTTAAATATTTAAGAGAATTTAAATATTTAAGAGACAAGTTTCACTTTCCATATTTAAAATTGCTCCAACCAAAAAACTAGAGCCTAGAATCAATCAAAAATTTTCCGCAATAAGTATTGTATCAGCTGTCGAAACTTATAATGACTATGTGAAGTTGGCTGGAAAAAAATACCATCAACTTCTGTTTAGAAAAGCGAAATTACTTTCCTAACAACCCAATAAAAGTAATAGGAAAAAGTCTTTTTACAGCTGTGCTCAGATGGTTTAATTTAATTTTGAAATTATGGCAATGAGTTCATTCATGTTTGCAGTCGAAATTATTTTCTTCCTGTGCTCTCTAAATGGAAGGAATTCCAAATACGAAAAGTAAGTAATAAAACAGATATATATATATATATATATAGCACAAAAGGGATGAAAAGAGAAAGAAAAAACTTTTATTTAAAAAAATATTAAAAATCCGGAAAACAAAATGATGAAAATATATAATCTTGTCATCAGCTCACACGATTATATCGTCAAAAAAAAGTGCTTTCTAATGTATTAACCTAGCCAAAGCAAAATATATTAATACAATAGTATGAGGAGCACCTGAAAAAAAAATTTTTTTGAAACGAAAATAGAGCATGTACTATTTTCCTTTCAAAGTTTTATATATTCACTAACTTACTCATTTTTCAATTTTTCTCAAGAAATATTTAGAGAAAAGAGCATTTAGGCCAAGTGATTTCTCATACATATCAATTAAGTTTAAAGCTGTTTGATTCACCGGCAATAAATTACGAACGAAAAAAAGTGTTTTTGAAAACCCTATGCCAAAAAAAAAAGCGATGTGCTTGTAACTTGTGTCAATTACGTTGATTATTATACGCAATATCTGCACAAAATTTCGTAAACCTTGTGGAAATGTTAATTCGCAATCGGATCTTGGGCATTAGGTTTTAACTCTTATAAGAATATACATATTTTTTTCTGTTTATGTACAAATATTTTTCCGATGTGTTTTGGATATTCCTTCTCTAACATAAAGAGATATCCCATTTTGTTTTCATTTGCATAAGAAAGAATATCAAACATTTTCCTTTTTTAAATTTAATTAGCCACAATAAAGAAGGAACGTTGCAATGCAACATTAAAGACGTCTCTAGAGTAAGTGAATGACTGTTCGTATAGAAATCGCTGGTATTCGTCTCATACAACAACGCCCCCTATAGTTCATTGCGATCGCGAATATAATATAATGATAAACTATAATAAACTTAAATATGAACATTTTTATTAAAAAAAATTTCTTACTTGTGCTTTCTTACTATAACTGCAGAAATTCAATAAAATTAAACAAAATATTTAGGGTAATTTTTAATTATAAATAAAAATATCATTTTACAAGTTTAGAAAAATTCATTAAAAATTGAGCAAGATTATTTTATTTAAAGTAATTCTTTCATACTGCCGTTGCGCAGAAAACATTTAAAAAAAAATTTTCATAATTTTGTTTTGAATCGTATTTGGCAACTTATGAAACAACTTACGCACAAATATACCTGGTGACCCTTTTATTCCATTATCTCTAGGAGGCAGGTTCTGAGAAATTTTTACTCAAAACTATTAATTGAGATAATACTAAGATATAAATTGTTTTTCATTAACTTTAAGATAGTGTCTTGGAATATTAATATCGTTCACAAATATTTTGGAATTAATGACGTAAGTGAAAATGTAATATAATTTCTAAATTTGAAACATATTTATTACAAGAGCTATTGATGTCAAGATTAACTTGTTTTGTTTACAAAGCAATAAAGATAGCAATATAGAAATTTGGTGCATAAATTTGGTAATTAGAAATTTGGCAATTTTGTGCATAAAAATATAATTATTGAAAAAAAAATAAGCACGATGCTTTGTTTTATCTCCTAAATCACACTAACTTCAACACTTTGTATAGTATTTAAGTAGTACTACATGCTACTTATACTACTATTTAACTGCAGCACTTTTTGTACTTTTTTATTTCATAATTAAAATTCTTTTAATTATAAAATTGCGTTAGTGGAAGGCACTAAAAGAAAACTATGTATTGCAGAGATTTTCAAAAGCATATTTAAAATTATGTTTCTTAATCTTTCGACGACAAATAATCCTGTTGTTGATTCTAATTTTACTTGGATACGCTATGATCGACAGGCATTGAATTTTCAAATTAAGTCAAGAAGGCGCGCCTTTTGTTTGACAAGAGAGTACCGCTAAGGTATTGTGAGACTCAACTCAGAACACCCCGGACCGATGACAACATCACTCATTCTTGAGTATGCTTTTATCAATCTGAAGAAAAAGGACATTTTCTCAAAGAAATAATCACAATATATTCAAAATAAGTGAAAGTAAGATGATACAACTACAAAACATTTAAATATTAATATTTTATTGCTATAAATTTAATAAAATTTTCATATTTACAACATATATACAAAAAAAATGTAAACAAATATTTGTTTCATTTATCAACTGGTATGACCTATAAAACATACCAATATTCCAATTATTTCTAATTTTCAGAAATCATTGAGTTAGATATTAACTCATTTAGTTCAGCATTCTAAAAGACGTGTAACTCTTTATATAATACTGATAATAGTTTTTTATTTTATTAATTGTATTTTAAATTAACCATCAATAATTCAGTTTTATACGTATAAAATTAAATAATTGATGTTCATTACTAAAATACACACAGTAGCATATTAAAGTACTATGCTGAAACATTCAAAATGAGAGTGTCTAAATTCTACAATAAGCTCTTTTTTGTGATGAATCTTCAATTTCCCGAGCAGCATACTATCAAAACCCATACATTGTTGTACTCATATATTTTAAGAACATCCTTAAACTACAAAATCATTATCTCCAAACGAAAAGTATTTTCAAATACACACAAGTATTCAGTGGATATTACATCACATGATGGAACACATACCTATCACAAAATAATTTGTTTATATTTCTGTTTAAAAAAATAAATAAAATGCTGTCAAATTACGGAATGTGAAATGTGAAGAAGAAAATATTCTGATAAGATGGGTGTTGCAACATTATGGCTAATTACTGCAATTGATGTAAAATAATAAAAATTTTACGCCATGATTGAGGTTTTTTGGTTTGCCAGTCATGTTGTACCAAAAACACCACAGTTCGCAAGTCCTAACACTTCTTTTGGAGTCTGTAGAATCTGTGAAAAATATTTACATTACTTTAAAAAATATTTATTTTCTTTTTCTAAGCGTAGTATCCCCATATAAACGAACAGACAACTATAAGAAGTAAAGCATTGGCATTACAAATTCTTCTCCACAAAGGTTTTTCTTCGATTGCCTTAGCTGCCAGCCTAGCTTCTTCTTCGGCTGAAATTGTTTCTTCAGCTATCCCGTCGATTCCATCTTTGTTGATGCCACATATGAAATACAAAACTCTTTTCCATTGAAATTTTTGATCTGAAATCGAAGAAACAAATCGCTTTAATGCACGCATTTTGTTACCAAGATTCGGTTCCCAAATATAACTAGTAATACTTCATATAAACTGTAGGGGAGAGTGGGGTCAATTGTAACAGGGTACGATTGTAACAGAGCAAAAATTTCGAGTGTCCGGTTCTAGATTTGGTTCCTAGGTGGCGCACAAGGTGTATTTAATAAATCTACATGTACACCCCTGATGGCAACCATTTTTATGTACTTTTGAAAGAGTTACATCACAAAAGATATTTNAATTCTCTGAACTTAAAATCGTTCAATTATTATTTTGTTTTACCATATGACGTCGCTTTAAAAAGATAATTTACAGGCTATGCCTCAACCTTCATTGCCATGATCCTCTTCAAATATACACTTATTAATTCGTCTTAAATCCTTAAAATTAGATACATTTTATCACTTATTACTATTTATTTCATCATATATAACTTTTCTGCTAAGTTTCTAATAATTATCATTCGATTTACCATAATATGGGGGTTAAACGAAAAGCAAGTTTCCAATTCTCAAAGAATTCTTTCAACTGTTTAGTTTAGATCTTTCAAAGTTTTCATTCATAATTGAATGGTTTAAAATTTCATTAAATATTTTTAATACTTTTTCGCCCATTAATAAATTAAAAACATGAATAATTATGAAAAATCGAATATAATTTGGTTCAAACTATCTTTTGATAAACGATATTTATGAGTGTCTGAAAAATGTTTTGATCCCTTTACATACTTATAGAGAGGCAACGAATTACGTAGAATATAAGACTAACATTAGTAGTTTTCAAGCTTTCGACAATCCTTTGGCTTAATTATAAGGACCATATTTTACTGATTGAGGTAATCTTCTATATTTTAAAGGTCACGAATCCAACGAACCCAAATTCGTTTGATAAATATGTATACTCATTTATAAAGAGGACTTTCTAGTGTCTGAATTCGTAACTTAAAATATCGTCTACACAAAATAAGTTGCATAATTAAGAGGCCCTTCCTCTCCCGATCGAATTCAACTATCGAAGGGATGGGGACGAGAAGGAAAAATTCTAAATATATCTAATCTAAATATTTTAAGTATTCTAAATATCCTTTTTATTTATTTTTCACACCTAAACTAATGATGGATATTAACTCTATTTGGTAGTATCTTTCGATACGTGTAAAATACAGGGCCCCCTCACAATCACAATATAAAGCGTGCGGTATTTTTAAATTCTCTATTATTGTTTTGTAACAATATTATGCCAATACAATTTTACAATAAGCAGTGTTTCATACGTAGCTTAGTAGTATAGTATACGTAGGTTAGTGTTTTTAGATTTTTGATAAATATCTTTGTTTTTATACAATTAACGTTAAAAAAATTTTTAATGTCATCCAATACTTTCCTTCCTGTATAAAATTAGACATAATGAACTATATTCCAATTCATCCGTTTAAACTGAAAAAAAAATTAAAAAAAATTAACAACTGAAAAACGTTTAGTTTTAAATTACTTTCTCAAAACCACAGATCGCATCATTTTATTGCTTTAAAGTTTTGAAGAAAAATAGAAGTTCTAAAAATTATCAAGCTCTATTTCTTCTCAACTAATAAAGTGATTCTTTTATTTTCTACCTATTTTGAAAGATATTGTCAATCTAATAATACTATATCATCAAAAGTTTGTTACGTACAAAAAAATATCAAGGAAGCGCAAATAAAAAATTTGATCTAAAATCCAAGCTGTCTTGGTTAGAGGCCTCTTAGTACAGGAGTTAGTAGATAATCTTTTTACTTGTCTAACCGGGGGGAGGGCATTCTAGGACTCAATCTTAATGATCGAGGGGGTGATTTTAAATATGCTAATTAATTAGCGCAGACGATATTTTAAGTTACGATAGTAGATACAAAAATGTACTTTCTCAGAATAAACCCTACCATTTTTTGACAGGTGGAATGTGGGAAATTAGGTCTTAATAGTTTGGCCAGGAAGGAGATCCAAAGTTTGGACCTCTTAATGTTAATTTTATGACATTTGGAATATGACTTGTTTAAAATTCGATTTTTCAGCTACTATTTGACAGATTTCGCACAAATTTTGTATTTTGCCATGTAAAACAATATTCTTTAAAGTGATGTAAAAAAAACTTATACCTTACAATTCAAAAATTTTTATAATATTAATAAATCTTTTATTTAATAATTATTATAATTAATGTAATTATAACTATTATAATATATTATAACACTTATTGTAATATATTATAATACTTATTATAATATATTATAATACTTATTATAATATATTAATATAATTATAATTATTATACAAATAGATTAAAAATCAAATCTCTATAAAGAATGATTTGTGAACTTACCGTCAGAGGATGCAGGATTTGAAGCTTCTACTTCTTTAAATTTTAAAACTGACTCTTGTTTTGTAATTGTAACTGCCACGTCCTCAAGGTTCAAGTCGTTATTGAATTTCTCATCGTTATATCTGTCGTCAAAGGCTGTATTTATTTCGCCGAGCTCTGCTCCCTTATCATTCGAAATGATCGTCTTCTTTGTTATATCCACCCGAACATCTTCACTGCGGCGATTCCAAAACAACAGTCTGTGTAACTGGAGGAAAAGAGTGAAATATCTTAAAGTGTAAGAAATTATTTATAACAACATATTGCAACACGGGAACAGCGCTTGGAACTCCTATATCGTTAGTTATACAGGGTAATTAACAGCTATTATATTAATTAATAATATTAATTGATTACATTAATTAGTTATAATAATTAATTATAGATTAATTATGTTAGTGTTTTACTATATAATTTTTAATTTATTGGATTACCAGGGAGGCGCTATAGTGGACTCTCTGACCCCAGTGCACTCTCTGACCATAAAACAAAAGATAGGGAAATAGATAATTTTAATTACAAATAATAATGTGAAATCTTCCCTAAAAATTTACAATAAGTTACGTATTTCATGGAGTCTAGGTCTAAAGCAAAAGCTTATTTCAAAACTACAGTAAATTCATGTTGGTATAATAAGTCAAGTAAAAAGAAAATGAATCGTAATACGCAATTTTTTTTACAGGGAGGAAGATGCAAAGAAGTTCGAAATGATTTGAAAATGCATCAAAATTGTCTCAAAACCAAGAAATTAAAATTTTTCTTTATTTTTTTTACCGGGTTGAGAGTTGAAATTACCCTTTATAAAGTTTTCGTTAATAAAACTCTTGAAAATTGCGTGAATTTTTTTATTTTTTAGAACTAATGAATTAAAGCAGGCATATTTAAAACAAATTTAATTTTTATAAAACTTTGAGCAAAACTTAAGGTCACGACTTTATTGTCTATCTCACTTTTTATAATATACATTTAAACTTTTATGTGGTGGTAAATAAAAATTCTTTCAATTCTAATTAATTATAATATCAATACGTTATTTTTTGCAATGGCAAGGAAAAATATTTTCTGAATCTACAAAAATTCTGCAGTGGTTCGGGGGCTCGTTCTTACTATTGCATCGAAAGTCCAAGAACTAAGACTTTTGCGGGCTAAGTCTGGGTCCTTCAGACTCAACTAAGGAGACACTGTGGCTTGTAGACAAAAAAATGTAGAGTAAAGGTATTGAGTAGTGAAACCTTTCATTGTGGTTTTGAAAAGTAAAATTTTAATTAAACGTAAACCATTTATTAAAAGTTTCCCCTGCTTTTTGAAAGAATTAAAAAAAATAGCGTTTAAAAGTACAATAGTTTTACTTAAATCTATTTTCAGTATCAAAAGTAACAAAAAAATAATGTTGAAAATCAATTCTTACGTGTTTCTTGGCGATTGGTTGTGTTAAGTAGGACACTGTAAATGTGACGATGCAGGTGATGAAAAACAAAATTATTCCAAAATGAAGATAGTGTACTTTGGTAATGATATCAGGACGTGGATCTGGCAACTTAGAAGCGCAACTGGGAACCGAATAAGAGAATTCCCAAATAAACCTGATCATGCCAACAATAAGTCCAACCATCAAGCCCCAGAAAGCACCCTAAAAACAATGTTTCAATGATAAATAAACAATATGCTTAAATTTTCAATTAATGATTTCCATGCTTAATTATCTACAGACAATTGAATATACTTGTGACGTTATTGAAAAGGTAAATCATTGTCGAATTTAGGAACCAATCAAGTTTGTCACACACGTGTGACGTCACTTTATCCAATTAAGTCACTAAAGGCAATCAATAGAGGTATCCAATTAAATCACTGATTTAAATCACATGGTTAGGTACAATACAGATAAATAAAAATATTTTTTCTAATTTATTAAAATTCATGAAATTTATTTACTTATTAAAAAACATCTTGCAAAAGTGACCATTACCTGCTCGTTGACTCTTTTAAATATGATGGCTAGTATATAAACAGCGCAGACAGGTGGAGCTAAAAATGAAGTGACACTCTGAATGTAGTGGAAGAGTTGACTGTTCTGTGCAGCTTGAACAATCGGTATCCACACTATGCTCACCACAATCAAGAAGACCACAAACAGCCTAAAAATAAAATAAAATCATCTCACGTCTTAAATAAAACCTTTATATATCCGCAAATAAAACGACTATTCTATTTTTTATTAATTTATTCTTATTATTGATAATTATTCAATACTCGAGCACACTAGTGGAGATTCGAATTCTTTGATTTAATAGAAAAGAGCGAGACTATAGAATTTTTTGAGTCTAAGTCTGAAATTTAATATCTCAGATAAAAGCGTTAATTCTTAAACGGTATAGTAATAAAATAAATTGACTGGTCGTTAGACACAGTTCCCAGAAGAACAACTAAGTCAAGCTTTACTCGCAATTCTCATTGAGCGGATGGGTGATCAGTTTGAGAACGGACCAAGGGTGTGCGGTATTGATCTCATTAGATTTTTCTACCGTAAAGATCTTGACTTAAAATTCAGGTCATCGGGTTACCAAAGCTGGGGAGTCACCCTCTTTGCAGAGGTGTCAAAATTGTGTTGACATGTCTTCGGATCATCTTCAGGGATGTCTCGGTATTTTTCCTTTCAAATTTTGAACCTCGGGGATGTTTACTAGTTGGTCTTCAGGGGTATTTGACAGTCGCCAATATCCCATTGTGTAGCTCTAGTGGAGTGTAAAAAGAGTACTATTATTGTTTATATAATTTAAACATTATTGTTACATAAAATCGAAAATTGTACTTGTGCCTAGTTAGAAAACTACTTCGGGAGAAGGGGTAAGGAAATCAGTTTAAACTAAATGCTTCATCTTTTTTTCGTTTTCCATGTATTGTAATATAAATTCCAATTTTAATTTTATTTGCGGATGATTTTTCCGTGAAAATAAAATAAACATAATTTTTTTTTTTTAAATTTTGTCAAAACTTATAAACATCTACGCATGATTAATAATTCTAATATGCATATAAGCGAATCATTTATAATTTGGTGATAGTTAAAATTTATCGACTTATTACTATTTTTCAAAAAGGCATTTATTTTTAGTAATTATGAAATAATTTCTACTGACCTTCCAACGATGAGGAGTTCAGTGTCAGAAGCATTTTTTCGAATTCTTTTCCAGATGTCTATGGTAAAAATGGTGGAACTGCTATTAAAAATGGAAGTCAGAGAACTCATGAGAGCTGCTAGCATGACGGATATCATAAGGCCTCGAGCACCTGCATGAAAGAACGAAATGCTTATTTACTGCCAAAGTACGTGGGTCATTTGTATAAAATTTCAATTGTGGCGGCTTAGAAAAGAAATATAAACGATAGAGTGAAGACCAAATGATATAAGTACAAACATGGTAACTTTTTAACGTGAAAAGTCTAAGCATTTGTAATATGGGTAAAAAAATTTTTAAAATATTATCTTTCAAAAGCGTTTGAGGCTTCTCAGTGGAAGCTTTGGCTTATAAACCAAAAGGGGCAACCTCTTTTATCATGAACATAGTTCACTTCTCTACGAGTCATGTGAGATGGGCCTAAATATCGGTTTCAAGATTTTTGTTGGTCTGGAAGGTATAATTTAAAGATATGGGATGCAGAATTTAAAGCCGTTTATAAAATGGAAAGATTAATTCTTACCACTGGGATTGCTTCTCATTGGTTTGATGTAGAGACCATGATGGTCATGATGTAGGTCCATCATAACCATCTAATATCACAGGAGACAATTTTTTTCCTTCAAAGTCTTGGATATCTGTTGTTGAAGAGTTCGATAAAAATAAATCTCTGGTAGCCTTTTTAAGTTTTAAGACTATGTATTATGTTAAAATATTTAAGTTTAAATTTCGAGTTTTTAAAAGAAATGTATTGTTTGGTAGTTTCAGAAACGAATATTTACCTTTTAAAACAAAAACCATTTTTTTTAAAGTTAGAATATCATTTTCCAAAATAAATCTGATGATTATTATTAAAATTATTCTACGGTTTTCTTCTTCATTTTGAATAGGAGTATATATATAAGTTTACCTGCCGGCATCAATTCCAAAACAAGTTTTGGATAGGCTATATTTGTGCAGCCGAGTTCACTACCGCAGATATCTTTGCATTTTTCTGGATTGGAACATGCCACTTCATCTGAAATAAAAGTATAATTAATTCAAAGTTTAAGATTTTTTTACATTTTAGAGGCCCACCTAACATAGAGAGTTATAGAATAATCGTTATTGAGCTTAAGAAGTAATAAAATATAAAAAATAAGTCTGAATTTTTAAGTTAAGAATAAATATTAAACTATCTTATTTTAGAAACTACAAGGAGCTATTGCTTATAACCTTCAGAAACTGTTAATACAATTTCAGATCTCTTTGCGATCTAAGCACCTTCGTCTGCCTTATTTTTGCTTAATATTCTAACTTTATCCTTAAATATCTATTTTACTTTACAATAATCGTTAGTTCAGTCTCCCTTTGCATATTTTATTTCTCCAGAAATAATTCGGACTTTAAATAAAGTTGTATCACCTTTGCTCATTTTCATACATAAGAATGCATGTTCGCAAAAGAAAAAAAATCATAATTCTTCTGTTAATATTTATCACCAAACGTAAAACTCAAAAACAGCACACAAAAAATTCCGCTAAGAGATAAAATAAAAAAATAAAAAACTAACGACATTATTAATGACATTCCGATATCAGAATATTGCTTGGATATTTCTCTAAAAAATCAAATTACTCCAAAGCATATTCATCACTTAAAATAGTATTTCATCAAATAATTTTCGAGTTTTAAGTGTAAGAAGAGAGCTGGGCGAAAATTTTATGAAGCAGCAGTAGTTTCTTATTTTCAAAAAAGAAAGATTTTAGCTTTTAAAATATACAATTCGTTAGATTCAATTAATAATTTGTTGAATGTTCAAAAGTTTCCATGAGCATTTTTCTCTGAAATAAGAAAGAAATAATTATGTTTTTCTTCAAGTTTTATTAAAATTTCTAAAGGAAATAGAGTATAAATAGCGTGCGAGTGCTAGAGGTAGTTTGTGGCTGCCTACTTACTTGGAAACAAAATTCTGGCAGCCATTCCAGGAAAAATCAAGAGGAATAGAGGCAGAAGTTTCAAATATCCAGCCAAAATGCATCCGGCTTTGGCATGTGAGAGATTTTTTGCAGATAAAGCTCTCTGAACTATGACCTAAACGAAAAATCACTATAGGCAACCAGAACATATTAATGGTTTAAACATTTGTATAAAAGTTTGATAGTCTCATGATGATTCGTTTCAGATCAGATTAAATAAATGAGGAAATTATATTTAAATTGGTATTTCACTTCTACTTGGGAAAGTTATCCTCGGAAAGAATAAAAGTTGGTAGGCATGGTAAAGTACTAATAAACGCATTCCTGCCTACAGAAGAGTCTTAGCATTGCGCCTTAGCTGCGCATCTGGTCCACGAAGCTGCCCCTATCCAATTCATCGTGAATTTGAGCACTGTTTGTATTAGATCATTGTGCTTGGCAGGTAGTGGGTTTGCTGCCTACAGAAGAGATCCCAACTTGTTCCGCTCTGAGAGAATTCTTTTTAGTGGTAGCAAAATTCGTGTTTCAATGTATGATTCTTGTTTTCATAAATCATTTGATCTCAAGTTGTGTTACACACCTCTCTGTCTAAGGGAATCAGAAATTCATCGATAACACCAATTTGTGTCTTTCGTTATGAGCTTTTCCAAGTTTTGCCAAAACCGACCAAAAATCTAACAATTTTGGTTTTTAAATATCTGCCACTTACCACTTCTTAAAGTTTTTGCACTAAGCTAAGCAGTTGGCATCGTAGCTACTGTCACAAAACCTCCAAAGTAGTGATGTAAAAAAGTAACTTTATCAAAAAAACTGGTGGTGCATTTACGCTTAGATACCTCCATTCTAGTGTTGACCATCACTTTAGTTCTGAAATATCACAATTAATTGATATCTAATCTAAACATAAATATTTATATTCCCGTGAACCTGAATGGCTTGTTTTCCGGAGAGGTTGACACTGAAAAGGAGTGGACTCACGCTCTACAGACCGTTGTACCGATATTCAAAGCGATGCCAGATTTTAAAAATTTATGGAATAAAGTATCTCGATAATGTGACAGTTTCAGATGTTGAAGGCCCTCGTGTAGTTCATTTAAAATTCACTGTGATAGCATACTATTCCGGAAAGAGGCATAATTAAACCATACCTAATGCACACTTACTTGATCAGAACACCAATACCAGATGGCGCTTATGGTAAGTCCGAATATCATTCCGGTCATAGGCAGATCAGGATCGCTTGGGGACCTCAACAAACTCATGTAATTGTCAGGAATAGCGCTGCAGGACTTATTGTTGACTCCAAATCCCAAGTACGTATCATTGATTGGAACATCTTTGAAGTCTTGTATCAAATTGGAATACCCGCCAACTTTTATAAAACCTGAAAAAATGTTTAAAAAAATGAGTAATAGTTTTGACTTGCATTATGTTTTATTCTCATCAACAAAAGCTGTAAGACATAGATCCAGTGTATCGCATTCAAATTAGCAATTGGTGTGCAGAAAGAAACTGCAGCTACTTTCAACTTATCTGAAACTCTCGTCTATGCTAAACATTCAGCTTTGTTTAATACTTGTTTACAATTAAGCTACGGATACTTTAGATAGACCATATTCAACATTATTATTAGATGTAATTATAATCATCCTATAAATTTATTTAATATTAACCTATCATGTTTAATATTAACCTATTATGTTTAATATTAACCTATTATGTTTAATATTTACTGTTCACGAGTACTTTTGACTTGCTTTTATGCTATATTTAAGTCTTAATATCCTGTGAACCAATATTGAACATATTTTTTAAAGAATCAAAATGTAGAGGTAAACACTTACTCATTATAGACAAGGCAAGGGCTCCAACAACCATGAGAATAGTTTGTGCGAAATCCGTCCAAATAACAGCTGTTAATCCACCTGTAATAAAACAAATTATTGCTAATCACTTATTGATCTTGTCATCTTCTTTTAAGCAACTAAATGACAAAGATTTAAATTTGTGATGCGCATGTTCCAATGTTCATATATATTTTAATCTCACAACGCTATTAACCTAAAATGTATGCATGTAGTGGTTATAAAATTAATAAAAATTTTCATGAATCACAAATTTATTAAATCAAAAATTAACCAATAAGGGAAATTTAGTACCACTTTAAAATATTAAAAAGAAATCTCCCACCTCAACAGGGGCTGAAGAAGTTGACAATTTTGCACATTAATTTTGAACTTATATGCAAGTTTAAAGGTCCCGCAGTGGACTGATCGTTAAGACACGGTTCCCAGCAGATCACCGAAGTCAAGCATCACTGGCTACGGTCACTGTGCGGGTAGGTGACCACTTGGATCAGTCTGCGTAGGGACCGAGGGTGTGCGGTAATGGTCCTCGTTAAACTGTGCTACCGTAAAGTGCTCGACTTCGCGCGCAGGTCGTCGGGCTACCGAAGCGGGGGTGCCATCCCTTCCGCAGAGGATCAAAATTGTGATGGCATGTCTTCGGATCATCCTTCGGGATGTTTCCCAGACCGTCGCCAATAGCCCACTGTGCAGCTCCAGTGCGACGTAAATTAACAACAACAACAGCAAGTTTAAAGACAATTCTGTACAGTTTTTAAATATTGCTTATTTCCAAACGTGACCATGAAATTAAATTTTTAAATTTGATATGATCTCATGAACTAAAGATTTGCAGTCAACTAATATTATGTTACAGTTAACTTTTTAATCTACATATTAACAGAGCATGGTCTTTGAGAAATGATTAAATTCATTATTAATCCTAATGGGAATAAGTGTCTTATCTAAAAATAAAGTGTTAGAGGTAGATGTGGCAATGTAAAATAGACTTACCTGTGACCGTGAATATGCCTGCTATGGCAAGAAGAGATAAAACAGATCCATAGAGATCGAGCTTAATTGATTGGTTAATGAAAATAGCACCTGCATACAGATCTGCCTGAAAGAAATATTAAACACATGAATAACAAGCATTTTCTTTGCTTATTTTACTCCTCCCGACAACCAGCTAGAAGTTGAATGGTTTTACTACCAGTTTTTCCGCTTTTCCGTCTTACATTAATATTCAACCATAGATCAGAATGACTAGCTACAAAAATTTATCTTCAAACTATATTGGAGTGCTGGGAAACTTATGGATTGAAGAAAGATGCCTGCTGCGTTTTCACTTTTTTGCTTTACTGGGGTTTCTTTGAAGTATTTAGCTTGATTCTGTACTATACGTTAGCTTCGTATTGTTGACTATTTGTGTTCTTAAACTTTTACTTTTTCTGTTTGTTCTTTGTTTGATAGCAATGTGATCTCTACATTTAATGGATTTAATTGAATTCCAAAACCACCGTTTACCGAAAGCTATTCTTTTCTCTTTCGGGGGCAAGGATTTTTTAGATACGTTTTTCTTCAACGAGCGTTTTTTTTTCCTTGTTTAAATATATATGCTTAACCAATATATATGCTTTCTGCGAAAAATGTTTTCCTTTAATAGTAAAAAAAAAATTATCAGGCAGAATTTATTTAGATTTAGACAGTTCTTTAAAGCATCACGTGATGATACTTTAAGGAGGCAGGTCCCTCACAAAACCCCTACAAGCAATTTTTAATGTAATTTTAATTAAATGAATGAATGAATTAATTAATTAATTATATGAATTAGTTAATTTCAATAAATAATTTAACAAAATATAACAAATAATAAGGAGGAGACTTTTTTTAAATAAATAAATTCAACTGGCCTGAAAGAGGCTGCTTTTTGCAGCGGAGCAGAGTCATAAACAATTATTTAAATTTTCAGCAATTGATCCCAAGACAAACTAGATGTTTCAACAAGACCAAGAACCAGCTCACAAGGTGAAGAAGTAAGAAGGGCGCAAAGTGCATTTTCTGGATATGATATTTTCTGAAGAATGGTCACCCTACTCCCCAGATCTCAATCCGATGAATGGTATGGTTTATTTTGGAATCTAGGATCTGCACTGAACCACATAATTGTGTAAACTCTCTGAAGCAATCACTTAGGATGGAATGGGATAGATAAAAGGTAGAAGACTTGATGTCCATTGTTGGATATTTTACTAAGCGTTTGCGCTTCATTATCGTTGCAAAAGGCAGCCTTTTTGAAGCCAATTGAATTTATTAGTAAAATTCTACTCCTATTAAATTTATTTATTTGTTATATGTGGTTAGTTTATTTATTTGTTATATGTTGTTAGTCTATTTATCTTTTTTGAAAAATACATTAAAAATTGCTTGTTTGATACTTTTGCCGCACTCTGCAATTATTTATATGTTGCGATGATATAAGTATTATTAATAATAAAGCCAATCATACTAAAAAAGCACAAAAATACCAACTATGCATATTTTGTATAGAGTTCTCACTGGTCTTGAAAGAATTTAATACTGAAAACGGAAATAAGACTAACTTAACCATTTACTAAATTTTGGACCTCCAACTAGTATTTATTTTCTTAAAAAAAGAGAAAAAAACATATCTGTATGAAATCTCTGTATAACTGTAATTTTTTTGCATTTTTAAAATAAGGAATTATTATAGTGGGAGAAATATCACAATTTTCAACAATTGTAACTGATAATTATTTCCAATTCACTCCCGATAATGCTGTTAAATAATGTTGTTATGTCTTTTATACATTTTAAAAATTAATCGTACGTAGTGGCGGTTAAAATCATTATAAATAAACTTTATTAAACAAAATTAAAACATACATTAGGCTACCACTTTAAATGGAAAAAAAGTCTCCCCGACAAATTAAGAAGATTCAAAATGAAATCGTTACTATAATAAATTGTGAAACTGTTGCAATAATGAACGATTAATGCCTAGTCTTACAGTGTTGCACAGTTATGAAAGTCAAACTATACCTCTATAAATAAATGCTAATAATGCTACACTTTTGCTATCAATTATTAATTTTTTTAAATTTATTTTATTTATTACCATCTTAAAATTCATTTTTTGGTTATTAGCTACCATTTAAAAAATGTAGAAATTATCTATGAGTCTAAGAAATTGGCATGCCTGTTATTATTTATTATATAACAAATATTTTCCACATTGTGTACAATTAAAAAAATATCAGATTAATCTTTTTATACACTTTTATAATTAATATTTTTTATTACGCTTTTTGTATAAGAAAAAATTATTCTAAAATATTTTTACAACCAATTTTGATTTTTTTTTTTAAAAATTTTTAACTTAGCTCAGGAAAAATATGTATACTTATCTACCAAATTTGGAATTACATGTATCTATTAAACTTCTTACATGTATCTATCAAACTTTGTGTTTCTTTATTTTCTTTATTTATTTTAACATTCGAACTTAGTACATATTGAAAAATGAATAATATTTTTTTATTCATAATCAATATTTTCACTAAACCATATTTTTTATAGATAATCAATAAAAAATACGTTCGTTTCCCTCTTTTAAAAATATTGTTTTTGATAATAAGCAGGAAATTACGCGGAAAAAATTTTTATTCCGATAAATATGATATACTATTGTATTCATTTCCTTCCAAGAAAAGGGAGAGAGTGAATGAAATTTTCTTTCTTATCAGTTGTTAAACGCTGTGTTTATTGCTTTATGTTTACTGCTATGTATATGTTTTGTAATTTTTCAATCATTGGTAATTTAAGTTCAAACTATCAAAAATATTATAAATTCAAACACTGATCTAATATTTCAAAATTCGTGTTATTAATTATTTCGATGTTGCGAAAACTCATAACTTGGTAAAGTAATGTGAAAAGTACCTTGATGAAGAAAAAAAATGATAGAGTATTTATAAGCTGAGAGTAACTTGATATTTTTTGTTTTTGTTTTAACTCTTTAAAGTAGAATTTTTGTTAAAAATATTTTGTTCGCTTTTTTCATTATTTTGTTTTAATTTAGATCAAAATAAGTGAAAAATATTATATTTAGCGTTTTAATAATTTTTGGTTATGAAATACAGCGTGAAATAGCAGTGTTTTATTTTTTTTATATAAAGATAAAATCTTTTAAACACAACTCACTTCCAAACAATATATTTTTTAAAAAAATTTGCATTAATTTACAATTATTTAGATCTAAGTGAAGCAGTTACTCATGACTGAAATTTCTTTAATTGACAAATGTTAGAATACGAAAAAAAAAGTCAAATTACATTTTGTTGGACTTTATACTTTAGTGCAATGATAATTCAGATAATATAAATTTCTTTTAGCAACGATTAGATTATTTTTTTATAATAAAAATATACCAAAATATATTTTTGTCCGCAAGCAGAGCGTCAGAGAAAAATTTATAAAAGAGACACCGGCGTCAAAGGGTTAACTACTTTTTTTAGTTTAGTAATATTACAATCATTTAATTTATGATAAAAATATATGGATTCATTAATACATAAAGATAAAATAATAAAATATATATTCCTTTATTCTGAGAAAAAATATTATGTTTATCATTAATTTATAATGCTTAACATGAATGTCTTGTTTCTTCAAGATAAATTTCAAAAATGAGATGATTGAGTTAGCAGTATTTTTTGGAAACGTTTCATTTTTATATTACATATGATGCTGAAATTTAAACCTTTTTTTTCTTATATCCATTACATTCTTTTGTTTATTTAATTATAGAACTATAAAAAAAAGAACATACCGAAATTTTCGTAAATACGTATAGCAGTAACGCCAAAACTGACAAATATATTCTAATTCTTTGTCCTCCAAACCTTTTACGTAAATATTCTGGCATTGTATAAACCTGAAAAATAGGCAAGAATATTGCTAATTAGCTTCTAAAAATAGAAATTCTTTGAATGGAAATACATCAAATAGAAAAGAATGAAATAAACATATTTACCCCAGATGCCATGTACACGGGAACAAAAAACCAACCTAGCACGAGAACTACCATCATAGCCTGTGGAGAAAAAAAAACGAAACATGTAACCGAAGTACAGAAAGAAACAGTACATGAGTAAAAATTATCTCAAAACTTTTGTTTTCGAAAAACAAAAATGTTCTGAAAAATATCATACAAGTTTTATTTTACCACATGAGAATCAACGAACAATCCATTTAAACAAGTTTTTGCACAGTTAACTGAAACCTTTCTATTACCTCTCCTCTTTTAAATACTATATCTACCGTATAAGGATCCCTTAATTTTTTGCAGACATCATACATCTATTATGTAGACTGAAACGTTTTATCCAAAATGTTTTTGCTTACTGAATATTTTCGATATAGTTCGTAATTAATGCTACATTTGAAAAAAAAAATATATTTTGAATTTCCAGATTGCGTAGAAGTTTCAAACTGCTCCGAATGCATAAAATTGTTCCAAAACGCTTCAAAAATTCAAAGTTGCTGTTCCGAATCATACAAAAACACCTGCCACCCGTTTATTTTACTGTACAGGGAGCATAATACAAAACAGACCACCTTGAATAACTTATGTATAATAATTGCAACTTTTCGTTTTAGGACTCGATCTTAACCGTTCTAGCGGGTGCAAATTAATTAGTGCAGACGATCTTTTTTATTTATTTTGCGAGGGACATTCTACGGAACAGTACCTTACTCACGCTCATATATACCTTGAGGCAGCTATTTTGTTGTGGTGGGTGTAATTTTCGTCTATCACGTTTTGGGCAGGAGATTGTATTTCCGTAATAAATACTGTGCAAAATACACTTTTTGCAATCCCAGTTGCTCAAAATCTATTTCAATGTTCCAGGTAGTTTCAGAGCTTATAAAGTCTACGCAGTGCTGGGCAATTGGGAAGCATGTTGAGGATCTCTCTGATCGAAATTGCAGTAGTCTAGAGTGCGCCTGCGCAAATGTTGTGTCAGAATCATAATTTAAAAATGAATCCCAGACCGTCTCTTATGATGCATTGAACTCCAAACTAATGCATATAATGCACTAGTTTGACGTAAAATTCCCAAACCAAACTTACATTGAGTTCGAATCCAGCAATTCCGATTCCTGAACTGGCAGCTGAGCCCGTCAGTCCGATAAAATGACCACTTCCAATGTTGCTTGCAAATAAAGAGGCACCGACCTGAAAAAGAAAACAATCATTATGTTGAGCCGAAATTGACTATTTTGAGCCAAAATCAGTTGACATTTGTATTCAAGATCGCAAATTTAAGCTGCGAAATAAGTTTTTGAAAATGAATTGGATTTCTATTTAAAATATTAAAAGTAAATAGACCCTAATACCCCCATAACCACTGGCCCGAATTTTTATAAGTGTAAGGTACCCTTTATCGTTTGATTTTTATAGCCTTCCCGAAATTCTAATTTATTTCCGAGTTTAAAAAAATAAATAAAAGGGAAATGTGATTAAACAATTGTCAATCTGAAATTTTTTAGATCCTCAGGATTGTTACCTAGGATTTTAAAATTACCTTTACGAAACGTTTGGAACGTTTTAAATAGTTTCCCCTAATATGAATGATAATGAAATGAATAAAGTAACAGTAATAATTTCCTCTAGCATAAATGCGGAATACAAATGAGAAAAGTAACAGTATTCCTCATTCAGTTACTAATATCTGTAAAAAAATACTATTTCTAAACCAAATCATATTATTAATAAAACACGATTATTAGACTAGTTTTAAAATAAATTTTACCTCATTAATTATAATTAATAATGTTTCGTTTGCTAATATGTTTACTGAATAAAAAAAATTATAAAATAGGTTAGTAAACTTAATACTTTTCTTCTTTATGTTATGAAAAACTAAACCGAGCAGGACTTGAATATATATAAAATTAATTATTACCGATGAAACACGTAAAACGTGCTGGTATTGATAATGTTTTAAAGAAAAAAATAATTTGTGGCGAAAAAAAAAACTGATGTAGGCTTTTAAAACTTTCTGAAATAACCCGTCTTCATAATAGAGCTATAGGCATATTTACCTAACAAAACTGCTAAGCTGCTTAACATTCTATATTCTTAATTTAAAAAAAAAATCGTCTCCACACTAATCAGTTACAAATATATTTACACTTATAAAAAAAGCCTTATATTCATTTTATTGTTTTGCAGTCTAGGTTTTAAAAAAAAAGCATCTTTTAGCTCAGATTGTCTGTGACACGAATTAAACTCGAAAGGTCAAGAGACTGATTTGGCATAGATTCCTTTAAGAGACGAAACAGAGTTAAAGAAGGGAGGTGGGGGGAAGGATTGGTGAATGTCATGGATTGAATAAAGCATAATCATTCAGGAAAGGAGAAAAAAAATAGCAAATTTTGTGTTTATATAAAAAACTTTGCTTTATCGAGGCAACTTTCAAGATCAGTTAATGAAATTTCAATTGTGTCCTGATGACTGAAAGGCGGATATATGCATGCGTATTACGCATTTAAACTCTATATATGTGTTTCAGATCTATTACAGGCTTTTTTTGACATTCATCAATGAGGGGTGTGGCTAAAATTGCCAGAGCAAAATTAAAATTGAGGAGGGATAGTTGGGAATCTCCCTATGTCCTGGGGATGTGAAAAATCTTTCTAAAATGTTTGCAGAACCAAAATTTTTTACTTCCCGAAAGGAAAAATCTTTCTGCAAGAACTTTCTAACAATTTGCGTGTCGCTGAGATTCTGACTCGGGGCTGATAATCATGAAATGAAATGTTTTAGGTGCTGGTAAAATTGTTTAAACTTTTTTATTCTCATCTAATATCTATGAATTTAATTTTAAAAAATTTAACCACCACTTCATAAGATTTATTTTAACACATATATTTCCATAAGTTATGCATTCAGGTATGTGTGAGCATTAAAAAGCAAAACTAATAAGCAATGAACAAATTGAAGAATTGGCACATTCAGGGCTATGAAAGGATTCAAACCTTTAATCTTCCCTTTGCAGAACTTATGTCTAAACTGACAAAGAAATTCCTCCCCAAAACATCACTGTAAAGTAATAGGTTTCATATATAAGTTTTGATTGTCCGAACGTGTAGTGATGGTTAGAATTCTACTATATCTGATTCATTAAACTAAAATTAAATTATAAATCCTTAAATCGTTCGCAATTGAAAGCAATCTACTTCGAAATGTAAGTATAAATGGAGTTTTAAATCATAATGGTCGAAAGTAATAGCTTTTTAATCTATCATTAAAGAAGATTCTTTTTAAAAAAATATTTAAATTAAAAACAAAATAGACTTAATGTAAAAGAATAATGTTAAAAACACGAAAAAAAATAAGAATTAAAAGCGATAGAATATCATTATTGGTGTTTCGTTGAAAATGATATCTTTCTCTTCGTTGAAAAATTCTAGGAAAATGTTTACTTAAATTCTTTTTTCTCTCGTTACAAGCATATTATGACAATCACAGCTCTATTATGCCTATTATCTCTCCTAGAAACTGTGAAAAATGAGGAGATTACGCAACCACAACTTTTTCGTGGAATATTAAAAAAATAAGAGTGTTTATTGTTTTTTCATAAACTCTATCGATACATTCATAACAATAAGGAGAGAGTGGAGGGGGGAGTCCGAGAAGGAAGATCAGCTAAATTACGAAAGCGACAAGCTCTCCAAATAATTACGCCTTTTAACAAAATATCAAAATATACACATAAAATATACACTTACGGGAATCCAATGCATACTTCTACTTGCAAGAAAGTATCCACTCACGCTGTCTCTTTTGCTTCGAACAGAAGACTGAAAAAAGAAAAAAATAAAGATTTAAATTAATAAGCAGGAGATGGGAAAAAGAACAAAAAGCATTCAGAATAATTAACAAAATTCAGAAAAAAGAAAATCGTTAAAATTAATAAACAGAAGACTGAAAAAAGAAGAAGAAGTCATTTAAATTAATAAACGGAAGGCAGAAAAAAAGGAGAAAAATTATTCAAGTTAATAAACACAAGACAGAAAATATAAAAAATAAATAAATAAATAAATAAATCATTCTAATTAATACAAAAAATTTAAAAACCACTTAAAAAATCTTTGAGACTGTAGCACAAATGAGAAGTTCTCGGGAGAAGTAAAATAGTCATGAATAACAAAATGTATTAAAAACAACTCAGTTATAGAACAGTTTCCAACGCAGAAAAAAGAAGAGGAGTTTGCCTGGTCAAGCTGTATCGTCTATCAAACGATCTGTATCTGTAACGTTCGAATCCTGTCATAACCCTTTGAGTTGTTCTTCTCTTAATTATCTGTTTTTCAGCCTGACAAAGGCTTATAAGCCGTTCTTCCTATCAAGCACACAAGCCTGTATACGTATGTGTACCAATAAATAAAAGAAATTAAACACGGTGCTTAATAATCATAAATAGTAAAAGCTTTTAATTTTTATTTCAGCTCATTTTATAAGGAAAACGTGACTCGGAGATATTTTACTCGCAAATACATGCTAAAACGTTTAATAAATTCTGGCAGCCATGGATATTTCACTCCTCCCGAAAACAAGCTGGAATTGAAGTTCGTTTTTTCTAACTAACTTCCCTGATCTCTAATTAAAATTAAATTCCGTTGGATGCTTAAGAAGGAGTTCAAAGTCAGTCCTTTAAGAAGGAGTCCAAAATCAAATTTAATTCATTGGATAAAAGTTCTAAGTGACATTTTATAGTGATTTTGAGTAAATCAGGGTAATCAGGAAAAAAGTTTATAAACTGGTAGAAAAAGATCGAGTAAACAAAAAGTCTCCAACTAATTACCATCAAACAAAAATATTTGTAAATTAAATATTTGTGTAGGAAATTGCCGAAATGAAATTGGCATAAGTTTCAGCTCATAGTTTTTTTTTAATTTATCGAGAAATGAAGATATTTTGGTTAATTAACTTAATTAAATTTAGTTAATTAAAATTTCTAAATTGACAATACGAAATAAAGATTGTGCCCTCCTTTATTTCTTGTTTGCAATCTTCAAGTTGACGAAATCTATATCCCGAACACTTCTTTAAACTATTCGCGTCATAACGTTCTCACTCTCAGCATTTTGATTTCTGTCAGAAGGCAAGTTTTCACCAGCTATCGACTGCTTGCTGTCGAATGCCATTGAATATTTTTTTTACTTAAAAAATGCTCAAAGACTTTCACATAGAACTATCACCCGAGATCGCCACCTGTTTCTGTCAAATTCCCTTGAAGCTTTCTTTTACTCTGGAAACATACAAAGATTTTCACTTATAATCTTCATCCACTGAGATCTTCATCTGTTTGCTGTCGAATATTTTTGAAACCTATTTACTCAAAGATTTTCGCTTAGAATCATCGTCCGCTTAGAATCATTATCCACCTGCTTACAATCGAATGTCTTTGAAACTTTCTTTTTCTCCAGAAACACTCACCAGAGAAAGACATTAACTTAGATCCTTTATCCACTGTGATCTCCGAAACTTAAAGACTTGGGAAAGTAAACCAAAGTTGTGTAAATAAAAGAAGACTAAATGAAGATCTTTATATTTTCAGAAGTGTCACAAAGAAAATAACCTTGTTCCACTATGCTCCTGATTTCCTTTTATTCTGCTTTATTTATTTATTTTAGAGTTTACTAAATAATCATCATGGAAAAAATAGAGGCCGGCAACAAAGTATGAGTAAAAACGAAACTAATTAAAGATTTTTGTTGACAGTTTCTAATGTTTCCATTTCTGTTCTTTGGCAGTATATGAGAGAAGAAGAAAAAGAAACCATTTGGATAGATCCTCTCAAAGGCTATTCTTTTCTTTCTATTTAAATATCAGGTTATTTTATCATTCAAGGTTAAACAGTATTATTTGAATTCAGCAAAGCACTGTAGACAGTCGTGAGCAGACATATTTACAGTTCTTTCTTTTTCTCTCTCTTTTTTTGTAGTCTCCGAGTATTCCAAGCGAAAGCAACGTTGAATTAATTTATGTATTGCATTGCTTAATTTGAATGCTATTGCATAAGTTTATGTAAAAAGAGCAAAAACCCGAGAAGTGTCTCATTTAAATAATCAACAAAGATTATTACACTACTGCTTGAGGAAAGTAAAATAAATGTTGCAGGTAGTGGTCATTTTAAGCATTGCTGAACAAGGGCAACATCATTAAGTTACCTGGGAATAATTTACTTGGTTGAAAAAAAGCATACATTAATATTAATGATTATAATAATTACCATTATTTTGAATTGCAATACACTTGATACATTATGTCAATACAATGAGCTAAAAAATGGCACTTTTTGTTTTAGAGTTTTATTTTTATTTGTACGTTTTCTACATTTCCCGTTTTATTCATTTGCAAATCTCTTTAGCCTTCGTCACCTTTTTTTGATCATTTAAATATTTTTTTTCATTCTGAAACTATATTCGAATGTTTAATTGTAGTATTAATCAATAAGTTTTGCTAATTTAATTGAGTGTTTAAGTTACGTTTTAATAAACAATTTAAATAATTGCTATTATTTGGAAAAAACCTCTACCTGACACGTGATTACTAAAAATAAATTGCACGCTCTCTAAGCACCCAAGTTTTGCTAATTTGTATTTCTTTTTAATCAATATTTTTTTAACTTTTTTTCCTATTTTATAATTTTGTACATAAAATTAACTTCGCTGAAGCTATATTCGAATGTTTAATTCACTTTTGCTTTAATTAATTAAAAATTTTGAATAACTCTCTACTTACTATTACGTAGTGTCAATACAATGAGCTAGAAAATAAAACTTTCATTTTATAATTTTTTCATGTTTTTTAAATTTTTGGTTTCATTGATTTTTAGTTTCATTCCTTCTTTCAAATGTTACATTTTTGTACATAAAATTAATTTTCATAACATAATTTGGTCGTAGTTAATTTTTATCACTAATTAACTAGTATAATTTTGCATTCTAGTACATCCCTAAGCATTCTAGTACAGTAAATTAAACTTGCATTTGAAATGATTCAATAATCTCTAGATTATAATATATGTTTAGCACATGAAGATCCAATCAATAAAAAAAAAGCTATTCACAAGGGTTACAATTTTTTTTTTGCTCTGTAAGTGATAAGAATTTGTTAAAATTAACGAGTGTTTAGTATTTAAACTATTAGTTAGTTATTATTAAAACTTATTGACCTCTTAAAGGAAGAATATCTGAAAGCGATATTCGTTGTAAAACCAGCGATAATAGGATTCGTTCGGCACTTATAAAAAGTATTATGAGATAAAAATATTGTGATAAAAAAATTATTTATCAAATATTGTTTTATTAGCTTTTATTTTAAAATTTAGAATTAATGATTTTTCAACTGGGATTGTTTAATATATATATAAATTGGGATTGTTTAATAATATTTAGAAATATGAAGAGTAGTGATGATTACGAATGTATTAGGGTATATCTTTGTTTTTACTTTTACTGCCACTTTCTAAGTTTTCTGTGGACCGTACGGATCCTGCGATAACTATGTTTGATATTCTCCAAATATTACTTCAAAATTGAAGTGACAGTTAAAGAGAGAAAATGTCCGCTACTCTTAATCGTAGAATTTCTAATATTTTTCATAATTTTCAATGGTTTATCATTGTCTCACAATCAGGCTTTCACATTAACGGTAAAACCAGAAATGCGAACTGCTCCACTTTCGGCTAACCATTTTGTGAAGTGATAGAGAAATAAAAACCAAAATTTCCATAATTTTTATAATATTTCATAATATTTTTTTAATTATTATCAATTTTTATAATATTTCTTTAATAATTATAAATTTTTATTATATTTTATGAAATTTGCCAATATTTTATAATTAGTCGTAGGGGTCCAGGGGATAGAGGACTCGCCTTCCAATGAGGTGACCTGGGTTTGAATCCCGGTGATGTCTGGTTGATACGAATTCGGCTCTCGACTCGCGCAGACCACAGTACTGATGTATAATATCCTCAGTGGTAAACGGGATTATTGGTTAGAATCTCCTTGCTGTTCGGCTTATCGTGGGAGATTTTCGTGGTTTTTCCTCTCCACGTAACTAAAAGGCGGGCTAGTTTCCTCAATAAGTCCTTCACAAAGGTTAATTTGTCAAAATGTTTGATCCAGGAGTTCTCTTTATAACCATCTTTGAGCAGCTGACCAAATTTTTGGGTTTACGACTACTGTTGTTTAATCCCGTACCCTTGTAATTTTGAATCGACTCCAAAAGACAAGAGAACCACTGGATCAAGTATTAGGAGATATTTGCCTGCGTGGAGGACTTTTGATGGAACTAACACGCATTTGCGTTGCATGGAGAGAAAGACCTCTAGAACTTCCCACGGTTAGCCTGACGGCGAAGGGAATCTAAACCATGATTCGTCTACCACTGAGGATATTTCACGTCAGCACTGTAGTCAGCTCAAGCCGGATGTGGATTCGTATCGACCAGTCATCGCTGGATTCGAACCTGGTGTAATACATATTTGAATGAAATTAAAAATTTAAAACATTTGCATTATTATGAAATGTATAATCAATTTTTTAATGTGACTGATAATGATCCAAGTTATGCACATGCCCCAGACCGCCTCACTCCTTGACCCAGCCCTACAGGAGGACTTTTGATGGAACTAACCCTCATTTGCGTTACATGAAGAGGAAAACCACGAAAACCTCCCGCGGTTTGATTGACGGTAAGAGGACTCTAACGCATGATCCGTCAATCACTTAAGATATTTTACTTCAGCACTGTGGTCGGTGCAAGCTGGATGCGGAATTCGTATCGA